GGCACCATACAGGCACACAGTGCACAAACACACACAGGCAAAATGCCCACACGGGTAAAATAAACAAAAACTTCAAAGCGCAACAAAATGAATAGTTTAAAAATCATAGATGTACAGGTGACTTGCCTCTCAGGTGATTGCCTGAGTTTCCAAAAGTAAGGAGCAGGGATTGGACATAGTTAAGTCTCCCAGGCCCTGATTCTAAAAGGAATGCAAATCTATGGGGCTCACCTATGATTTCAGAAGCTAAGTGAGCAGCTGACCTAGGGATGGGACTTTTTTAATGGGGGTGGGGGGATGACAGGCTCTCAGGTAGCCCAGGCTGGCTTCAAATTTATTACAGCCAAAGCTTATCACAAATTATTTCTTATTTGTTTTTATTTATTTTTGGCCTCAATGTCTGATCCTCCTGCTGCAGCCTTGAGAGTTCTGGAATTACATACAGCTTTGCGATACCATAGCTGGCTTATTTCAGTGCAGCAGAGGACTGACCCAGGGTTGAAGGCATGCCAGGCAAACATTCTACTAACAGAGCCATAGCCCGAACCCTCTTGGGGCTTTGTCTATCTTAATTTTGTTTCCTTTTCCAGACAGGGGTTCTCTGTCCTGGAACTTGCTCTGTAGACCAAGTTGGCCTGAAACTCACAGAGATCTGCCTGCCTCTGCCTCCCAAGTCCTGCGATAAAGGACATGTGCCGCCACCATCCAGCATCTTAAATATTTTCATATTATATATATATATATGAATATTTGCCTTCATGTGTGTCAGTACACCACATACATGCATGGAGCCTGTGTGTGGAGGATGAAAGAGGGTGTTGGATCCCCTGGAACTGGAGTTAAAGATGGCTGTGAGGCATCACGTGGGTGCTGGGAGCTGAACTCGGGTCCTCTGCAAGAGCAGCCTGTGTCCCAGTCACTGTGCCATCCCTCCAGCACCCTATCCCACGTTTTTTGAGAACCCAAGATGGTCTAAAACTAGCTTTTCAGCCCAGGTTGGCCTTGAACTTCTGATGCTCCTGCTCCACCTCCTGAGTGCTGGCACAAGTGTGTGCCTCAGGCAGCCAGCATAAGGGCCAGTGTTACAGATGTGGTGATGCAGGCCATGCCACTGGCCGACCCTCAGAACACACACCAGGTCTGCGCCTACAGCTTGTTGTCTTCCCGGTACCCAATGAAGGACACAATGTCCTCCTTCTCTAATGCCAGGGGACCCCGGAATGCCTCAGTTTCCCCCCACTTAATCCTCTTACCCACCTGGACCTCCTTCTTGGGTCCACTCTCCTCCTCTAGTCTTCTAGAGGAGAAGCACCTAGCCCAGGGGACCTATTGTCTACACGGGGCTCCTTATAGCCTGACTTAACAAGTTAAAATAAACTCAGGGGAGAAATGAAGACCTCAGTCCTGTCCCTAGGAACCATAAACATGGGGATGGTGGTGCACGGTTGTAATCCCAGTGCAGGGGAGGGAGGACAGGAGGTTCCCTGAGTTCACTGGCTGGCCAGCCTAGCCAGGTCACCCTAAGCTAAAGATAGGAGGTGTGTGAGGAACACTACCTGAGGTTGTCCTCTGTCCTCTGAAAGCGCGTGTGCACGTATTTGCACCTGCGCTTGGGAGCTCTCACAAAACAATATCAAAGGAAAACTCATTCTCACCACACAGTTCTTATCCCGGGGTTGCATCGCCACTATGGCCCACTGTCTCCATACTCAATGTGGACAGTGAGCATTGTCACCCCAGAAGAAAGTTCTGGTCACATGGCAATGTTTCCTGTGCCTGCCTGCCTCCTGACATCTTTGCTGCATGGCCGTGAGTCACGCACAATGGCTGTATTCAGGTGTCATCTCACTGCCAGAATGTGGATGGACACCATGGAATGCACCCATTCTGGAAACCTTGGCCTGATCCTTCCTGTCCCCAAAGCTGGAGCCCACCCCCCATGGTGGCTTTCTCTTCCCTTGGCTGCTCTAAGGACACCCAAGGACTGTGCTGCCTCCTGGATGCCCTTCAGTGTATTCTAGCCCAAGGCCCCCAGGGGTCAGGACAGACAGCAGCTTCTGCGAAAGGCTGTAGACAGAGTCTAGCATTTGTCTTCAAGGTATTCAGAGAGGTGAGGGGGCATTGTTGGGTAGGTGGGTGTTTGGCTTTTACTTTTTTTGTGCGTGTGTGAGCATTTGTCTGCATGTATGTCTGGGTACCGTGTGTGCAGTGCCTGTAGGAGCCAGACGGTGAAGTCAGGAACAGTGGTTACAGATGTTTGTGAGTTGCCATGTGGGTGCCCCTGGCTGGTTGTTTTTAGTTTAGTTTGTTTTTTGTTGTTGTGGTCTGCTTCTGTGGCCCAGGTTGATCACAGACCTGCAGTAATCTCTCTGCCTCAGTCTCCCGAGTGCTAGAAATGACAGGTGTGTATGGACACACTGGCAGGGTTCTTGGGTTTGGGTTTTGGTCCTGGGAATGGAACCCAACACATGCTAACTACATGTGCTATCACTGAACTACAGCCTAAGCCCAGAGACAGGTGTTTAAACTTTTCCGTGTAAGAAGTGTGGGGGGGTGGAGGGAGAGAGGGAGAGAGGGAGGGAGGGAGGGTGGGAGAGAGGGAGAGAGGGAGAGAGGGAGAGAGGGAAAGGAAATTGGCCACGGTTGGCCTTGGCTTTTTCTTCATCTGCTTCCATGGTCTCAGCTTCCACCTACAGCTGGGACCTCTCAGACTTCAACCTTCTGCTAAGCACCGCCTGGGCCCCACCCTCGGCACTGCCCCCAGGCCCATCATGCACACAGAAGCAAGGGCTGCACCCAGCATCACCTTGCAAGCCTTGTTCTCGGGGCTCCCAGCCTCAGTGATGACTGCCCCCTTCCACACTCTAGTCTCCAACCAGCATGCCCAGGAGCCACCCTACCCAGAAGCCCTGGTCCCCAGTGTCCGCTCTCAGCTTCCCAGCCCCAGAAAGCCTCACTCAGGGTGGCCTCTGAGTGCCCGCGAGGTCTGGCACTGGCCTCGTTCATGACAATGTCCGTTATGCCCTGAACTCTGCTCTCCTTTCAAACCACACCAGGCTGTCATTAGGGAGGACTTCGAACATGCAGGTCCAAGGCCACCTTGCAAGCACCACACTGAAACTTCTTCCCAATGACACCTGCACCCACCAGCCCCCCCCCACTTACTTCTGTCACCCTGTCTGTGGCCCTTTTCCAGGCCCATCAGTAAACCAGTATGCGTGCTTATTTACACAATATTTACCTGTTGCACTGTAACAATAGGCTTCCTGCTAAGGAAGAGATGACACTACCCCCAGGCCAAAAGACCACCTCAGAACTGATTTAGAGCTGCCCCCAGCTAGAGAGACCAGGGATGGAGCTGGAGGACCCCATGGAGTTCGTTCATGCCCCTGCCACCCACAGCACTATCTTGCAGTGGTAATTGCCCGCTTCTCATGGGAGCTGCAGATATTTCCGGGTGTTTATTAGGCAGTGGGCAAAGTTCCAGGACCGTCCCAAAGTGACCTTGTTTAGTTTGCACAGCAACCTCAAGGGGGAGGAGCTGTTCTGTGCCCAGGTGACAACCGTGGCCCAAGACGGGAATTACTATCCCAAAGCTGCAGAGCTCTGTTCGGCTGCCAGGGCTGTAGGGCTATGCTCGCTGAGCCAGGATGCGGCGATGGATGACACAGAGCGCCAAGGCAGACAGAGACAAAAGAGACACATGGACGAGACACAAAGACACAGAATGGATCCCCGAAGCGTTTACACGCTTCCCCACCCCCAGCTAGGGGCAGAAAGCGGCTTCCCTAGGCAGGGTGGCCCCAAACAAGGGCAGGGGAAGGGTCTGTGGGAGGTGGAGGCGGGGACTGTCCTTGGTGGGCGGGGCCTGCCTGCGGTGGGTGGGGCCTGTCTGTGCATCAAGGCCTTCGGTGGCGGGCGGTGGAGGGTCTGTCAGTGGCGGGCAGGCCTTGTCTGCGGTGAGCGGGGGACTCGGGTCTGTGGGGCCGGTGCCTGCCTGCAGCGGGCGCGGCCCGCGAACCCGTGCTGCCAGGTCAGCAGCCCCGAACTGCTCACCCCGAGTCAGCGCAGAGGTCCACTATGAACGTCGTGCACACCTTCTTCCTGAAGATCTTAGGGATCCAGCTCTGAGAACCGGAGCGAGAAGGCAGGGAAGGGGCCCGTGTCACACACGCGGAGACAGCCTGGCGCGCCTCCCGGGACACCGTGGGAACGTCAGCGTCCTCGTCCCGCGGGCTCGGCCCGGACCCCAAGCCCCTCGGTCTGGGGACCGCCGGCCCAGCCCCCGCTGCATCCGACCCGGGTCGGCGGGGCTGGCGCCACCTCTGGAACCCGCTCGCACCCGGCCCCGCGCTGCGCCTCACCTGCTCCTTCTCCGGCCCCACCATGCTGCCGCCACAGCCCCTGGGGCTCCGAGTATTTCCTCCCGCAGCCGACCCGCCCGATCAAACCGGATCCGCAACTTCGCAGCCTAGCCCGGGGCGGGGAGTCCTAGGGAACACGTCACGGGAGGCGGGGAGAGGGCGGCCCGCGCCGCGGAGGACGGACCCGCTGGGCTGCCTAGCCGGGGACGGGGTCGGGTAGAGGGGACCAAAGATGCAGACTCCGAGTGCAGAGCGCGCAGAGGAACGGAGGAGACACAGTGGGCTATGGGATGAACATAATAGACTCAGAGAGGGACAGAGCCTGAGAGAAAGATCCAGAGAGAGACAGGACAGAAACTAAGGGAGGAACCCAGAGACAGAGAGAGACCCGGGCAAGGGGGGCCGGGGAGGCCCAGAGAGAGAGAGAGAGGAGAACAGAGAGATACAGAGAGAATGAGACACCCAGAGATAGAGACAGATGCAAAGAGAGAGAGAGTAGAGAACAGAGTTCCAGAATTAGAGAGAGAGAGAGACCAGGAGAGATCAGGGAAGACGGTAAGAGTTGGGGGTGCGGTGGGGGGTTAGAATTCTAAGAAAGAACAGGGACCCTCAGAACCAGTGACTGTAATGGGGGCAGGGCTTGATTCATAAAAAACCCCAAAGAGCATGGGTATGTTGACAAGTGTGGGGTGGCCCTTAGAGAAACGGTGACACCTGTCTCTTGCCAAGTCCTACATTGGGGACAGCTGGGGCCTAGTAACCTGAGCCCCCAGCACCCTCCCCCCTGCTATATTTATAGCTCTGGCCTGGTCCCCTGCCCCCAGATCTGAGTTCCAGGGACAGGAGGTCATGGGGCGTTGGGGACAGACAGGCCTTCCTCACTCTCTTCACTTTCACACCAAATGTGTCATCCTTGTCGCACGTTTTTCATGACTGTGCCCTGATTCGTGCATTGCAAGGTTACTTGGCTCCTATACGTACCCTCATCTCCAGTGCCGCAGGCTTCTCCAGCACGACACTCTAAAAGTCTAGCCTGTCTCCAAGATGCCAAACTTGAGCTTTGGGGCAGTCCAAAGATGTCCCTGCCCCCCTCCTGGCCATGAAGACCCCTCCACCACCCAGTCCTGAGCCAGGGGAACAAGAGGGGGTTAGACAGGGAGTGACCAGAATAACTTAGACTGAGGATAAATTTAGCCACTAGGAGGGGAGGGGACAGACCTCATTGGCCCAGCAGTGGGAAGGGAGGTCCTGAAACCAGGGTCACAGCTCTAAAGGGGACATCTTCAGAGAGGCATCCGAGACCTGAGGACAAGCAAAGACTGGGAGCGAAACCACCGCCCTGCCCGGGAGAGACCGTCTGAAAGAACGGAGACACAGGACCCATCGCAAGCAGCCGGGACCAGGCTTGGGAGAAGCTCATCTGCTGAACATCCCCATGGGCTTCCAGGGGCCATGGTTGCACGTTTGTCTCCTTTGGGCCACAGTGGCCAGCCTGCTGGTCCCTCCAGTGGTGGCCCAGGAGCTGAGAGGGGCTGGACTGGGCCTCGGCAACTGGAACAACAACGCAGGCATCCCTGGGTCTTCAGAGGACATGCCAGCTGAGGTTGGCCACCACATCCACAGCCATGGGGGTCATCAAGGTGAAAAGGACAGAGGCCATAGAGCAGAGGATGACGATTTCTCCAGGGAATATGGCCGCCAGCTCCAAGACCACAGGTACCCTGGCCATGAGGCTGGAGAGGAGGATATTTCTGAAGAGGTCTTCAGAGGGCGTGTTAGACAGGCCCATGCGCACGGAGGACATGACAGTGAAGATCTGGGGGACTCAGCAGAGCCTGAGAACCACTTCCACACACAGAGGAGTCACAGCCACGAAGGTGAAGATGAGGGGAGCACTGTCTCCAGTGAGAATCACCACGGCCACGGAGGGGCCGATGATGATGGAGAGGAGGAGGGGGTGGGGGTGGAGGACAGCCCTGAGGGTGAGCCCCAGGCCCATGATCATCAGAGTCACTCAGAGGAAGGAGACCAAGAGGGCTCACATGAACGCCATCATGCCGACAGCCACAGAGGCCACAAAGATGAGGATGACGAGGGTGACTCCAGTGAATATGGCCACCACGCCCACGGACATCGGCACCATGCGGAGGAAGATGATGGCGGCTCAGATGGAGACCATCACGCCCATAGCGACAGAGAAGGAGGTGATGACGATGAAGATGAAGATGACGATGGTGACTCCAGTGAATATGGCCACCAGGTCCAGGGCCACCAAGGCCACAAAGACAGAGAAAACCATGACAATGACGACGATGATGATGAAGACGATGACGACTCCACTGAGCACGGGCACCAGGTCCAGGGCCACAGAAAGGGAGCTGAGGATGAGTCAGATGAAGACTACCATCGTGTCCCCAGGCGTGGCTACCGAGGCCATGAAGATGAAGATGATGACGATGACTCCGCTGAGCATGGGCACCAGGCCCGCAGACACCAAGGTGATGAGAAGGAAGGTGATGAGGATGCCTCAGATGAAGACTACCATCGTGTCCCCAGCCATGGCTACCAAAGCCACCAAGACGAGGACGATGAGGCTGTATCCACTGAACATTGGCACCAGGCCCCCAGACACACTCACCACGGTCTTGGAAGTGAGGGGGTGACCGCCAAGCTCAGCCACCATGTTGCAAGCCACCAGCACCCAGGCCACAAGTCTGACAAGGAGGAGGACTTCCCAGAAGAGTATATGACAGAAGTCCCTGGCCAACACCCACACAGAGTCTCCAGGGAGGGAGATGAGGACATTTCTGCTGAGTTTAGCCACAAGGCCCCCAGTCACAGGCCACAAGATCAAGATGAGCAGACCAGCCAGAGTCACAGAGAGTCTGTCCAAGGTGACATTGATCGCTGGTCCCTGCAGCCCACAGGGGCTGGTTCTGAAGAGCCAAGGAAGGAAGATGGCCACAGCTCTCAAGAGGGAGAGGAAGACACAAGGACACGCAGAGGAGCTCACAGGGAGGAGGAGGAGGAGGAGGGGGAGGAGGAAGAGGAGGAGGAGGGTGGTCATGGCCTCCCCATGAGCCAGGAAAATGAGGAAGAGGAAGAGGAGATCAGGGAAGACAGGGCTGAGGTTCTGATGCCACTGAGCCACCACAGAAAGCAGGAGAAGGAGGAAGAGGAGGAGGAGGAGATCCTGGAAGAAAACCTGCTGCCTTTCACCATCATCCCAAACCCCCTGGCTGGGAGGGAGGCGGTCAGAGAAGGCTCCAGTGAGGAGGAGAGCCGTGAGGCCATGGGTAAGTGTGACTGTGAGGTAGGGAAGGCAGCTAGCCACCTGGAATCACTGTGGCCCTCCTGTCCCCACAGGTCAGGACGACGCCCAGGAGAGTGAGAACTACCAGCCAGGGTCCCTGTGTGGCTACTGTTCCTTCTGCGATGTAGGTTACTCCCCGGGTCTGCCAGCCATGCCCTGGGGGGCCGTGGGAGGCCTCTGAACCTGGGAGCCGGAGGGGCAGCAGAAACAGATGCTCCCAGGACAGCTGGAGACCAGAAGCTGGGTTGGGGAGGCAGCGGCAGTAAGGAGTTAAGGTCTCGGATGAGGGTCAGCTTCCTGGGTCCTCCATCACTCGCTGGTCCTGCCCTCGACGAGTGGGCCACTTGGGGTTATCTAGAGATAGAGCGGCATGAGAAGCCACCTGGAAAGGAGGGGTCTCTGAGTTCAGACCTGGAGGTGGGCATCTCCTGAGGGATTCTGGGCCAGGGTGTCCTCTAACCAGGCTCCTCCTGTCCCCAGCGATGTACTGAATGTGAAAGCTGTCACTGTGATGAGGAGAACATGGGTGAACACTGTGATCAGTGTCAGGTGAGACCTTCCCAGACGGCACCCAGATGGCTGGGGCCACCGAGCCCCCAAGCCATGACCTGGCCTTACAACACTCCTCTCCTGCTTCCTGTGTGACCCTCCAGCTGGCCTCAGGCCCTCCGGGGTCCTGGCTCAGCTCCCTGACCGGGCTCTCTCCCTGTCCTCAGCACTGCCAATTCTGCTACCTCTGTCCGCTGGTCTGTGAAACCCTCTGCACCCCAGGTGAGCTGCAAAGGGGGTTGGCGCAGACACTCTAGAGGAGGCAAAGCCCAGCAAAGTGAACCCTAGTGGGGTTGGAGCCACCCTGAGCTGTGAACCAGGAAAGCTGTTGCATGGTGGGGCGGGGTAGGGGGTGTGGCCATGGCAAAGGTCATACTGGCAGAATGAAGCTGCCCGACGCCAAGACTGAGCTAATCTTGAAGGGTTCTCCTAGAAGTAAGCGGGTGGGACCAAGGTACATAGACAAGGAGGGTGGGGCAGCTGGGGAGTTAGAGTCCAAAGCAAGGGGGAATTAGGGGGCAAACACCACATTCTGCACTTGCCCAGAGTTCCTCCCACCGCTTGCCCTGGACGCCCCTCAAACCTCTTCTCTCTGCTCCCTCACAGGAAGCTACATAGACTATTTCTCCTCCTCCCTGTATCAGTAAGTGTGTGGGGCTGGGCTGGGGTGATGCAGTTCAAGGGACCTGGTTATAAGAGGGCTGCCCACTGTGAGTTATCGAGCTACCCTGGGCCCCGTGGTCCACCCTGTGAAATGGGCAGGGCCATGGTGGCGGGATGGCTTCTGGGCGCTAGCTAGCTAACCTTTGTGTCCTCTTGCCTAGAGCCCTGGCTGACATGCTGGAGACTCCAGAGCCCTGACTAGCCACAGCTGTCGCAGATGCCCCTCTCCTCACTGACAAGAGCTCGGAATAAATGTGCTTCTAGAACCAGTGTCCAGTGTGGGGAGTGTCCTGGGGCGCGGCAGAGGACACATTGAGGCATCAGCCTCTCCTAGAGGCCCCGAGGCAAAAAGGCCTTGACCTCTTGATTCTGGAGGTGGTCTGTTTGAGTGTTCTTAGCATCTTGAGGACAAAGGCTGGGAGTGGTGGCGCACACCTTTAATCTCGGCGCGGAGGCAGAGGCAGGCGGATCTCTGTGAGTTCGAGGCCAGCCTGGTCTACATATTGAATTCCAAGCCAGCCAGGACTATAACGTGAGACCCTGTCTCAAAAAAAGGCTGGTCAACACCAGAGCTTTTGAAACAGTAGGTCTTTACCCGTGATCACTGAGCGACGCCTGGGGCTGGGAGGCCGACAGAGTCGGGTGGGGGTTCCCCGCTGTCCGTCCCTCCCCACGCCTCATCACTCAGCAGCATAGGTGACAGAGGGATTTTCCCATGCAAACCCCGGAGCCAGAGGAAAACTGGGAACGCAGTGCTGCGTCCCTGACCCTTGGGCACAGACACCGCCATAACACGGGGGCCGGGAGGCCCCGGGGGACACGAGACACGGGAGGGGGGCAGGGGACCCCGCTCAAGATGACCCCCGAGGACTGGCGACCAAGCGCAGCGGGGCAGGGCTGAGTGGCACAGGGGGGCGAGGCTTGTAGCAGCGAGTCTCCCCTCCCCTCCTTGAGGACGAAGAAGGAAGACGGCCCCGCGACTGGGCAAGAGAAGGGGGGGCAGCCTCTCCCCGCATGCGGCCCGAGAGGAAGCCCCGCCCCCTTCCCGCAGGCGCAGGGGGCCCGGCTCCCATCCTAAACGGGCCAATAAATTACAAAGTAGAGAAAAGGGAGGCGGAAGTTTGGGTGGGATTTCTTCCTGTCCTCTTCTTCCTCTGCCCCCCTCTTAGTCCATTTCCTGTGGTTTGGTCCAGGCTCAGTCCGTTTGGGAGGCGGGAGCCAGCGCACCGGGCTGGTGTGCATAGGTGGTGCAGTCCGCAGTGCGAGCTCCCTCGCGGTGGTCTCCGGCTACACAACGCTCTAGAAAGGAGGGAAAACGGCCCAGCCTTTGGAAGGGTCTTCATCCAAGTAAGAGTGAGGCCACTCGCACTGAGGCCAGGCAGTCCACAGAGTGAGGACCTTCTGGCGCGCCATCCTGCCTTCCCCTTGCACCACTGCAGAGCCGGCACCTGTAGGTGCACACTAGCAGGAGTACGTCCGGACCGACACGCCATCCGCTCGTGAACTCCCAGAAGTCTGGCCTAGAGAGAGCAGCAGCTGTTCAACCTGGAGCCCCTCAAGTTTTCCCCAGGGAGTTCCCTACTCCTTAGTACTAGGGACAGGAGATAGGGGGCCCATAGATTGTTAGTCAAATGCCCTACCACGAGCTGCATCGCAAGCTCCTCACTGAGGGATTCTAGGAGGTTCCTTTCCCAGGGGCTACATCTTCAGCTCCCTTTTTACTTAAAAAAAAATACCTAAATTTATTTTATGTGTGCATTGGTGTGAAGGTGTCAGATCCTCTGGAACTTGAGTTACAGACAGTTGTGACCTGCCATGTGGGTGCTAGGAATCGAACCTGGGACCTCAGGAAGAGGACAATCTCTCCATCCCGTCCCTTTTTACTTTTTGAGAGAGAGTCTCACTAAGCAGCCCTGGCTACCTTGAACTCACTCTTTTGGGGCCCAGGCAGGTTATTGATCTTGCAATTATCTGTCAAACCCTGAGTAACCGGGCGGGCGACAGGCCCGTGTGGCCAGCCCAGATCCCCAGGGTTCTTATGAGCTCTAAGCCCTCCCACAGACCATGGGTCTCTCTACTTCCCGGCAGCCTGGGACCCAAATAAAGAGTTCAAGGAGCCCGAGGTAAGTTGATGTACCACCCCGGGGAGGATATGAGAACGATCCATTGCCAGGTGTGCCTGGGTGGCTGGGAAGCTGGTAGGATAGGCCAGAGGGAAGGTTGTCCCAAGATCTGAACAGATTGTAGACTGTCCCATTTGAGAGTCCCCCTACCTTCAGGCTGCAGTTTGCGGAGTGGGAGCCCCGGTGAGCCTAGGGCTCCTGCTGCAGCTGACCGAAAATTGGGGGGTAACATCTCAGCCGAATCGGGGGTTACACCCCTGAGGTCCTTCTCTCTGAACATCTTCCTCCAGGATGGGGAGCGGCTGAAGGACTTGGCACTGTCCTAGTTGTAAGATAGGAACCCAAGGTGAGGGCGGAGTTCATAAACTCCCATCTACCTCCTCTCCACTAGCCACGCCCCTTTCAGCTCATCGGCCAACCACAACTAGTTGGCCACATCAAGCCCCACCCCTTCACCACTGATTGGTAAGTACAGCTGGGGATCTCAGCGCTGTTGCCACGCCTACCTCATCCAGCCGTCGGTCAGTGCCTAGGGAGATGAGGTTGCTGAATTCTTTCTCCAGCAGTTGCCGGGCCTGGAGAAGGAGGAGGGAGAGAGGACAGTGGGCCAAGGTTGAAGCTAGCGGGGCGGGAGTGCCCAGCATGCTCCCTGACTAGCCAAGGCTCACCTGTGCGTTCTGTGTAGGTATCTGTAAAAGCAAGGCCAGGTCGGAGTAGTCGAAGGTTTCATCCAGGGCCAGCAGCGCCCCGTGCACCCCACTCTCGGTGAGATTAGTAGCGAATTCCTTCAGGCCGAGCCCAGATACCCAACCCATGACCCGTTCATTGGACCACACCATCACGTCTAGAGATGAAAGGGATTCTTAGCTGTGCGCCTCCCAGAGGTCAGCCCTGTCTGATTAGCTTAATTCCACCTCACTTCCTTTACCAGACGTACCTCCATGATGGTTCCACCCTCATCTAGGGAAACGGCCAATTAGGCCTGCGATTCCCTTTTCCCTCCCTAGCCACACTCCCAATGGGTTCTAATTATTTGAAGGAACAGCGCCCCCTAGTGGGCAGGCAGGCTTACATTCGCTCTGGGCCAAGCCCTCATGCTGGCTCTACCCCCTGTGTGATAGCGCTCCCCAGTGGCCAGGACCAGCCAGTCTGGCATACACCTCTACACTCATTTTATCCTGTGGCCACGTCCCCATGGTGATTCGGCCCTGTTTCTAGTAGCTCTTGGAATGTCTGGTTTTCCTCCCTCCAGCCTGCCACTCCACGTGGCCCCCACAGGACCTCACCTCTGATCTGCGTCTGGCTCTCTTCCCTCCTCCGCTCCAGGTCCTTCCGGTCATAGTTGAGCCGTTTTAGGCACATGATACCATAGTGCAGACTAACCCTGAGCATTGGGGGAAACTGAGTCACCCAGGAGCCTTCCCATGGCCACTGTCATTGCTCTTATCAGTCTCTGTCTCTCTCTGTGAGCTCGTGTGTGTGTAAATGCGTGCCTGTGCGTATGTGTGTGTGTGTATGTGTGCGCGTGTGTTTGTGCGCGCGTGCATGTGCGTGTGTGTTACCCACACTAAGCAAGTTCATCCCCAGTGTACTAGTGCTTACTTGGGTTCTCTTCCTTGTTCTATCTCTGTCTCTGTCTCTGTCTCTGTCCCTCTCTCCCTCTCCCTGTCCCTCTCTGGGATCACTTTTTAATTTTGAGACAGGCTCTCCTAAGCTTCCTGGGCTGGCCTTGAACTCTGTAGCCCAGGCTGACCTCAAACTTGCAACCTTCCTGCTTTGGCCTCCGCAGTAGCAGATCTCAGTTCTCCTATGGACCACCTTTTTGGTTCAAGGAGCAACAAGCTAGACTTTCACAGAACTTCCCATTGTCCAAAGCCTCTCTAGGGGTGTGACTTCTTCCCCTTGGGCTGTTCCCATTGGCCAGGCAGTCCCCACCTGTGGAAGCTGTCCACCATCTTGAGTTGGCCTCGCAGTTCCTTCTTGTTCAGATGGTCCAGCATGCGAGCATCGACCAGGGACTCCATGAAGTAGCTTCGGTACTGGGGCAGCCCCAGGCTGGGCAGCCAGTCGTTCCCCACCCACTCGTGGTTCATGTCGCCATATGCCAGGATCTGGGGCCATGGGCGGGCGAGGGAGGGGGTCAGGCCCTCGTGTCCCTTCCCATACATATAGGGAAAGGATAGAGTTCAGCCCCCACCCCAAGCTAGTTTTCTCTCCACCACAGAGCAATCTGGCCTCAGCTCTAGGGACGATGGACCAACTCAGGGTCTAATGTAGCCCAGACCAGCCTCAACTTCGCAATGAAGTTTGAGGATGATGGTCAAGTCTAGACCCTCCTACCTCCACCCTCTTGAGTTCTGGGTTACAGGTGTGCAATCCCATGCCAGGCTGGTGCTAGAAGCTAGGACTCTGTATTATAGACCAGGGTTCCTCCAACCGACCCCCAGAGCTGCAGGTCTGCACCCACTCAGTTCAAACATGACTACACATGGAAAGTCAGGGTCCCAAAGGGACTTTCCTGCCACCCAGAGACCATCGCTCCTGCAATGCCCAGAAAACACGAGTCAGTCCAGTTCAGGACAAGGTTGTAAGATCAGCCCAAAGTCTTTTGTAGCTTTAGGGTCAGGAAACGGACCACAGCCCAACTTGGAGCCCTCGAGAGCTCAGGGCAGGCATCTGGCCCCTCTCTTCTCCAGTCCACGGTGTATGGTGTCCTCACCACCTCACGGTCGCCATAACTAGCACAGCTAACCCTTGAGCCACTAAATGGTGTAGCCAGCCCTCTTCCCCAACCCTAACGCAAACCCTATCACCACCCAGCAGCTCCCTCCGGTTCCAGCCATCCCACAGTCCCCAGCTCCTGAGCAACCCACAAGCATGGAATGCCGTGCGCCAGGCTGGAGGTGGACACTGAGGGTTTCCATTTTGTCCCCCACTATGAACTAGTCCACAGCTGCGCACTGCACCAAGCTGCAGCCTTCCCTCCTGGTCGGGGACTTAGAACGTTGGGGAAAGGGTGGGGCCAGGGAGAGACAAAGACCATGCAGCGTGCACACCCTGTTCATGCGAGCAGCCTGCCCTGTGCCCTACCTGCTCCCAGCTGATCTCCTTGGTCTCCTGACCGTTAGTGGGAAGAGGGCGAGAGAAGGGCGGGTTAAGGGGACAGGCAGAGGAGGACGGAAGGGACAGACAGACTCCTCCCAGGCCCCGTACCCCAGGCCACCAGCAGGAGGCACTCACGGGTTTCGTAGCTGCTGTCAGGGACTCCATCTCCTCATGTGTCATCCACACGTTTCCTGTGGGCTGAGGGGCACCAGGTGTTAGGGGAGGTGACACAATACAGGTCAGAAAACAGGTGGATGTCCTCAGTGCCCCACTCGGACTCGTTCCGTTTGGGGTTTCAAAGCTGAGGTGACAGGGGAAATGACCGTGTTCGGCATCTTCCTGGCAAGCAATCTAGTACTGGACACTGTTTTCACTTTAACAGTGTTTAAGATAACCCTGCTTTATGTGAGTAGGAGTTGGTTTTCTTCGACAGTGGGTTCCAGGAGCCGACCTCAGGTGGTCAGGCCTGTGCAGGCCTCTTCTTTCTGTTTAGTAGGAGACAAGTAGTCCGGGCTGACCTTGAACTTACTCAGTAGCCCAGGCTGACTTTCAACTTGCCATTCTATTGCCTCAGACACAGGTACCAATAATTGTCTGCCTGTTTGAGACTTCCTAGGAAAAAACTGGGTCTGGGCACTGTGGGGCTGGCCTAGGAGGCAAAGGCACATGAATCTATCTCTACGAGTTCTAGGGCAGCCAGACCTGCATAGTGAGATCTTGTCTGAAAAGAAAAGAAAGAAGAAAACTGGATTTGGGGACTGTCCCTTGGAGGTGGTGAAATCTCCAGGAGGGGAGTATTGGGGACAGGGGTAATAGGCCAATAAGTCTCTGAAAAAGATGATCCCTGAAGAAGGAACTCACATAACCCACCAAGACATATGGGTAGTGCCCATGGGGGATACAGTCAATGGGCCCAGGTTTGGAGCCCAATGAGGGATGGGACTCCTGGCAGTGTCGGCACTCACAGTGCGGGAGGAGGCAGGTGCCGAGGGTGACGTGAGGGACACCATCTCCTGGATGGCGAGGCGGAGCTTGAGCCTGTGCAGGGGGTTGCTGATGCCGATCTCCCGCTGGATCTCCGTGTCTGACAGGTTGGCCATGATGGCGCCACTCTTGACGTTGGCCCGGCAGGCGGCCACGTACCACGCAGGCATGCCCACCCAGAGCTGAGGCCACGGGAAAGCGAGAGTGTGGAGGAGTCAGCGGAGAGAGAGACAGATGGGGAAAGTTCGCAGGCGAGGAAACAGAAGCAGCAAGATGGAGCCGTGTGGGAGAAGACAGGGAGATGGGGGATAAGTAGAGACAGATGGGAAGATAGACCCGAGCGGCAGAGACTCCCGAAGAGGCGGAGGAGGAGGAAGCCGTTTCCCTTGGAGCCTCGGGTCCCGACCTACCCACCCACCCCACGCCTGGGCTTGGGTAGGGCAGAGCCAACCAGCCCTGCACAGGACAGTTGTCAGAGAGCTGAGGATACAGCCTAGTACAGAGGTTCAGGCTTGTAATCACAGCACTCAAGAGGCTGAGACAGGAGGGTTGCCATGAGTCTGAGGCTCCCCTGGGCTACAGAATGAGACAAACCCTGAGTTAATTACAAAAAGAAAAAGAAGAAACAGTTGAAGTGGGGGACTGGATTAGTAACTCTACACTGAAGGTCATTTCAGTGTCCAAATACCTCCAGCCAGGAGACCACGGTGGGGCCATCCCAGGCAGCAAAGGGCAGGCCCTGGCGACAGGCCTCTTCCAGAAGTTCGTGCCTAGCAGAGAAGGCAGGCAGGGGCTGTGAACGCTTCTCACGGATCTCTCACACAGGCACACACAGTCAAAGCATCTTTGGAAAGTTCCAGAAGGTGTGACCCTCTACACCCACCTTCCCACCCAGACAGCACATCAGTAAAGCTGCTCTCAGTTCCCCCAGAAAGCAAGCTCGGGGGCATTGGTTACAGCCTCGGGGACCAGCATGGGGCCTCGTGGCATGCACCCCGCCCACCCTGTGAACACTCACTTCCTCTTGTTCCTCCTGTCCTTATCGCCCGGGCCAGTCAGCTTGGATAGCCCCAGAGGGTCAGTGGCCAGGGTTTCATCAGAGGGTGTCCCAGCTGGAGGGAAGGAAGCATCAAAATTAGTGAAGCCTTGGATCAGGGGTGCCAGGGAAATGCAGGGGCTCACACCTAACATCCCGAGCCCTGGGAGACACAGCCAGCAGGACCCAGCTCAAGGCCATTCTATGCTACAAAGCCAGCCAGAGTCACATAGCAAAACCGAAAAACAGAGGACTTGGCACGCTGCTGCATGTGTTTGGTCTCAGCTCTTGAGAGGCAGGGGAAGGGGCTCTGTAGGCTCAAGGCTAGCCTGATCTACCTGCATAGAGAATTCTAGGACAGCCAGAGCTACTGAAAGAAAGCAGGAGGAGAAAACTGACTTTGCAAAGGTCTTCTCTGACCTCCGTATGTCAAGAACACAGAGAATTTTAATACAATTTATTTTTGTTTTGTTTTGTTTTTCAAGACAGTATCTCTCTGTGGCTTTGGAGCCTGTGCTGGTACTTGCTCTGTAGACCAGGCTCGCCTAGAACTCCCAGAGATCTGCCTGCCTCCGCCTCCCGAGTGCTGGAGCTAGAGGCGTGTACCACCACTGCCTAACTTTAATACAGTTTTTTAATTTAAAAAAGCAGAGGTTGGGAATACAGCTTGCTGGTAGAGTACTTGCCTAGCATGCATGAGGGCCTAGGTTCAATTTCCAGTTCAGTTTCCCAGAAAAAAAAAAGTACTACCAAATAAAGACAGAAATGAATCTCTAGCAATGAGAAGGTGGGGAGGAGGAGGGGGGGAAGGGTGGCATTATTACAGGACTTACCCAGAGAAGCACTTTCCCGGCCTGGGGGTCCCATGCGGCCCTTTTCTTTCTTGCCGAAGAGCCGACCTATAGATGACTTAATGCTCTTCTTCTTGGGGGCTTTGTGGAGGGAATCTGGGGTGCCTTCACTAGAGAGACAGGACAGAGCTGGGATGGACACTGTCTCCCAAGTCTTTGCCCTGTCCCCATTCTCAACCCATATCCCTGCTGACCTTCCCCGGGGAGGAGCCCCATCTTCTAGGGACCCCGCCTGCAGTGCCAAAGCCTGTGTCATTCTCTCAAGACGGGCAGAACGGGGAGTGGGTGGTGGGGTGTCTCCAGGAATGGCTGGGCCTTCCCCTCGTGGAACACCAGCTTCCTCCTTGGGGACGTGGTTCTGGGGACAGAGAAAGATGCAGGATTAACTTGGGGTCATGATGGCGATGTTAACTGTGGGATTTGAGAGGACATCTAAGTTGTCCCTTGCTTGAGCACTGACTTGAAGGCTAGCCCAGGTCAAATGGAGGTGTAAAGGCAGTGGCCATGGTCCCCTAGAACTGGAGAAGCCTGTACAGGAAGTAGCTTTGCAATAGATGAGAGCTATGGAATAGGGGTAGCTTCAAGGAAAGCTAAGGGGACTCAGGTCCTGAGAACAGGAAACAGGATGTACAGAAATCAACAAGACTGAGTATCACACACACACACACACACACACACACACACACACACACACACACACACACGCACGCACGCACGCACACGTTTCCAGAAACCAGCCTTCCTTTTCTCCTTTGGAACTTTAGGCTAAGTGTGCTTCTGGAATCCACTGTGCAGACGCTCTGTAGCCATTTGTGGGAGGTTCTGTCTCTGACCTCTCCTACCTACACTGGGCTGGGGTGGCGAGAACACTCACAGTCTTTTCCGTTCCCTCCCGGGCAGGGCTGGGCGGAGCTAGGCGAGGCGTGGAGTGACCAGAGCTGGGAGGTGAGGGGCTGGCGAGGGTGGAGGTGGTGAGGGAGGGCGGCAGAGAGCAGCTGCTGCGGTATCGACCCAGCGAATCGAGGCCGGAACTGGACACGCGGCTCTCCAGCTCCTCTGCTCGCTGCTCAGTAGTCTCCTTCTCTTCTTGGATTAGCCTAGCAAGGGAGAAAGAAGACTAGCTGCAGGGCGGAGGGGATGGGAGTCACCGATCCCAGTGGCCAGAAAGTCTGGGGAGGGGAGGGGAGTGGGACTCCAGACAACTAAGTAACGGAAGATTGTTTTGGTGGGCAGCTTGCCCATAGCTGCAGGGGCTCAAGGGGAGGCAAGAAATCATGAGAGTCTCAAGAAGTCATTGAAAGATTTGGGCTGAATAGATGTGATTTCTATCAATTAGAAGAGGTTGGCCAAATAGTTACAGTAAAGTCATAAAAAGGCCTAGGAGTGTAGGTCAGTGGTAGAGCCCTTGCTTAGAATCTCCCAGTGAGGGGCTGGTGTACGGCTCGGTGGTAGAGCCCCTGCTTAGAATCCCCAGTGCGGGCTAACAGTATGACTTAGCACTACAGGCCCTGGATTCAATCCTCAATATGACAAATTATACATTTTTTTCGAGACAGGGTTTCTCTGTGTAGCTTTGTAGACCAGGTTGACCTCGAACTCACAGAGATCCACCTGCTTCTGACTCTGCCTCCCGAGTGCTGGGATTAAAGGTGTGCACCATCACCTCTTGGCAACAAATTATAATTTTAAAGATAATATTACTACAGGAAGAGAAAATATTCCAAGAATTGCTTGAGCAAAATGCTAAAATCGGGGTGAAAACAAGGTCAATCAAAGTAGGGCATAGATGATCATGAATTCATTGTTTAGGAGTGCAGATGAATACTGTCGGGGTTAGAATGTGATTGTATGGCTCTTATTTCCTGGGAGCCCATAAAAAATTCGTGGCAACAGAACTGACAAATCAGACACTCTCTGGAGAGTCAGGGAGGGCTCCCTAGAAACTGGGCTATTAGCCAGAAAATCTTGGTAGTTGTAGAGTTGGGTTAAGCTTGAGTATTTCTTTCATTCCTCCCTTTACAGGAATGTGTGTGCGTGCGTGTGTGTGCGTGTGTGTGTGTACATGTTTCTGCGCATGTGTGAGCAGTGTGTGGATATGAATGCACACAGAGGCTGACGTCCAGAAATATCACTGGTCACTCTTCTGCCTCATTCACTGAGCCAGGCAGACACAGCTTGTGGGTGTGGCTAGTCGTAGCAGCTTCCTCGGAGCAGCCCATCTGTCTTCAGAGGCTGTGATTTCAAGTGGGTCACCTCGCCTGCCTGGCATTTATATGGGCTCCAGGGGATCTGAACACCAGTTTTCAAGTGTGCATGGCAAATACGCTAACCCAGGAGCCATCTCGCCAGCCCTTCCTTCAGGCTTTCTGTCCGTTCCCTTATTTCCTGGCTTGATTCCTTCTTCCTTTCTCTTTCCTTCCCTTCCCTCCTTCTCTTCTTTTCCACCCCACGCATGCCAAGCGAACGCTCTACCAAGTCAGCTACACTCCCGGCCCAAGCAGAGGCTCTGGGTCACTGAGTGAGGTAGGCTCTGTGGGTGGTTTGCTGTTGTTAGGACCTTATGCTGAGATTCCTGCCGTATCAGGGAGGCTTTGGGACATGGCTTTAAGGAGCAGTGGTTGTCTTTCTTGACGATTCCTCCTGCAGAGCTGGTGGTTGGCACTTTGTTCACACTCGCCAACGCTAGCTCAGGGACGCTGGTAAATAATGGGTGTGTTCCTGGTGTGGGTCTGGGAGAACTTGTTAAGGGTAATGGTAAAGTGGTCAGGCTTAGAGAAAGGGGTGGGGCTGACTCTAGGGAGCTTCGGGGCCTGTGGGACAGCTTGGGCAAGACACAGCAGACTTGGCCTGGGGCTCACTTGATTTCCTTGTTGATGGCTTCCAACTGCTCCTGAAGCATGATGGCCAGTGTCTGCACGTCAGCTTGCCCACTGGGGGACAGCAACTCAGTCCCGAACATTCCCTCGGCCTCCTCCTCATCTGAGCCATCTAGCTCTCCAGGGAATGGGGGTGGGATGGACCCGGCAGGGGCAGACCGATCCCAATCCTGTCCCTGTGGGTGATATCTGAGGTTGGCACCTGGCTTTGCCCACACTCCTGACCCCATGGGCATCCCACGATGGACGCACTTCCTGTCGAGACCCTTCCTTTTTTGTGGTGTGGTGGTGGAGCCAGGGTGTCAGCTTTGTCCAGCTTCAGTTGAGCTCCTCCCTTGGCAGGTCTTTCTTGGACCTAAGAGATGGCTCAATGGCTAAAGTCCTTGTTGCAGACGCCTGGTGACCTGAGTTCAATCCTCAGATCACATGTAAAGGAAAGGGACAAGTCCACAGAGACGTCCTCTGACCTCCACAGGTGCTCTGCCGCATGCATGCCCCAATAATAAGTTCTGTTGCTCTGTGTGTGTGTGTGTGTGTGTGTGTGTGTGTGTGTGTGTGTGTTTCAAGACAGGGTTTTTCTGTGTAACCATGACTGTCCTGGTCTACTCCATAGACCAGACTGGCCTCGAACTCATAGAGAACTGTCTGTCTTGAGTGCTGGGGTTAAAGGCATGCACTGCTGCCGCCGCCACCACCACCACCACCTGGAATATTCTTTTATTTATCTATTTTATTGTATGTAAGTATTTTCTGCCTACATGTATGTGTGTGCACTATGGGCATGCCTGCTTCCCACAGACGCCAGAAGAGCCACCATGTGGGTTCTGGGAACTGAACTCAGAACTTCCTGTAGAGAAGCAGTCGTTCCTAACCACTGAGCTATCTCTCCTGGCGCTCTGCTTCTTTTCTAGTGTAGAAGCCGTAGCTCCATGTCCTTACCCCGTTTCCATTATTCTTTTGAACTTCTTTTCTCTTGTTACTTGTTGTATGCAGTGGGGTGTGTGCACATGAGCCATCGTGCGTGTGGAGGTCGGAGGACAACTTTGGAGTCACCCCTGTCCTCCCTGCGTGTGGGCCTGGGACAGAACTCAGCTCCTCAGGCTAAGCCGCAGATGCCATGACCCACTGGTGCCTCTGGCTCCACCTTTGTTTCTGTCATTGTTTGTGCTGCCCTTGTTGGTCTGGAGCACGCAGACCCACCTGCCTAAGAGTCCTGAGTGCTGGGATTAAAGGCATTGCCAACAGGTCTCTCCCTGGACCTGGAGTTCACTAGGCTGGCTGACCACGGGCTTCAAAGACCCTGTCTGCACCTCCCCGGGGCTGAGACGACAGCACAGGGCTGCACCTGGGTTGTGCGCATGCTCAAGACTGAGCCGTCAGGCCTTGGTGCTTACACAGCAAGCACTTTTTAAGTGTGCTTCTCCCCAGCCAGAGGCTCTGAGTGGCTTACCTAACTGTCCCTAAGCCCTGTCCACGCGCACGCACAACTCTTCCCTTCTTCCTAGAGACCTGAACCCACCAGCCTCTTCTCTTGGCCTGGCCTCCCCGCCTCCGGGGTCCTCCACCCTCCCCCATCTTCAAACTCACCATGCAAATCATAGGAGGAGGTGAGATGTTCAGGCAGGCGGACGGTGGTTTTGGAGGCCAGGAGAGAAGAAGGAGGGTGAGGCAGAGAGACAGGACCCTTCATCCCAGAATTCTCCCGGAGCGCCTTAGGGATTCAGCTGCCCCACCCCATCCCTGCCCACGCAAGCCCCTCCCACTCCGGGCCCCAGAGGTGGCTGCTGACCTTGGAAGACTCATCTTTGGCCCCTGACCAGCGGCCCCTCTTGCCTGCCCGGCCACTGCCAGCTCCATAAGGATCCAGGGGGGCACCAGAAGGTAAGGTTGGTGCCTGGGAGTAACGGAGCTCCAGGGCACTGCCAGGGAGAGACCTGGGAGCATGGGGCCAGAAATGCGGTAGAGGTTAGGGCCGCAGGGACAGGCCAGCCTGGGCGGGGGGGGGGGGGGCAATGATTGTATTTAGTGGGTTATTTTAAAAAGAAACTGGGGCCGGGCATTGGTGGCGCACGCCTTTAATCCCAGCACTCGGGAGGCAGAGGCAGGCGGATCTCTGTGAGTTCGAGACCAGCCTGGTCTACAGAGCGAGTTCCAGGACAGCCTACAAAACAATACAGAGAAACCCTGTCTCGAAAAACCTAATTAATTAATTAGGTACACCTCTTGTGCGAGTTCAAGGCCAGCCTGGTCTGCAGAGTGAGTTTCACAGAGAACAGCCAGAGCTGTGACACAGAGAAACCCTGTCTAGGGGAAAAAAAAAGAAAGAAAGAAATTGGGAATGAGATGTTTTATGGGAAGTTTGGGGGAGAGTTTGGAGTATATATGGCCAAGATATATGTTTGAATTTGTCAAAGGATAATTTTTTTTGTTTGTTTTTGTTTTTTTGAGTCAGGGTTTCTCTGTGGCTTTAGAGGCTGTCCTGGAACTCACTCTGTAGACCAGGCTGGTCTCGAACTCACAGAGATCCACCTGCCTCTGCCTCCCGAGTGCTGGGATTAAAGGCGTGCGCCACCAATGCCCAGCTGACAAAGGACAAATTTTAAAATATTCTTTTTTTGTTTGTTTGTTTTCAAGACAGGGTATCTCTGAGTAGCCAGGGCTGTCCTGGAACTCAACAGATCTGCCTGCCTCTGCCTTCCCAATGCTGGGACTAAAAGTGTGCACCACCACAGCCTGGCCAAAACATTCTTAAATAAACAAAATTGATGAAGCTGGACCTACTGGTGTAAGCTTGCAGTCTCAGCTACTGAGAGGCTATGGCAGAAGGACTGTAGGTTCAAAGCCAGCCTGGGCAACTTAGTGAGATCCTGTCTCAAAAGGAAAAGTAAAAAGAGCTGGAGATATACAGGGTAGAGCTTAGAATTCCTCAGTGAGGGGATGGGGTGTGGTCAGGGACAGAGCCTCTGTCTAGAATCCCCCAGTGAGGGGATGGGGTGTGGTCAGGGATAGGGCCTCTGCCTAGAATCCCCCAGTGAGGGGGTGGGGATGTGGCTTGGTGACAGGGTGCAGGAGGGCTGCGATTTGATCACCAGTACTGTAAAACTTTAAAAAATAAGGGATGAGCAGCTGAGTATAAGGAGTGGAGATGAAGGGATGAGCTTGACTATTGGGGCTCCCTGGAGAAAGGACAGGGGGCGTCCGTCACCTGGAATAGGAGGGGGGCCTCCCCCGTAGCTGGTCAATCTCCATCTGCATCCGTTCCATCTCAGCCAGGAGCTGCTCCTGTGGGGAGGAGGCAGAGCTCCAGGTGGGTTTTGTTGCTCTGAGGAGCAGGCCACTCAGTAGCCCCCTCAAGCTCCAGGCCCCACCTTGTTCAGCAGCAGCTCATCTTGAAGCTTCTTCATGTTAGCAATCTCCTCGCTCAGTGAGTTCTGTGGGGACCAGAGTGACATGGAAGGGGGAGGCCTAGTAAACTTCTGCTCTATTCTGGAATGCTCAAGTCAAATGGTGCCTGAGGTCAGTCACAGAGCTGAGTAGGGAGGCCTCAGCTGACAGATCTGAGATGGCATGGGCCCCAAGATGGCAGCTAGCGGCATCCCGGGTGGTCAGAGGCCCGGGACGGGAGGGGTGGGGGCGAACCTTCTCCTCCAGGGCCCCCATGCGTTCCTTGAGGTGAAGCTGCAACCGTTCATTGGATTCGCTCAGCAGCTTGTCTACCGTCTCTGACAGTCGCTTATTATGGTCATCATTCATCTTCTCCCGCTGCCGGGCCTGCGCAAAGGGACACGGGACAGAGATTGTGGTGTCATTGCCCTGCTCTGAATCATGCCCTTCGCCGACGCCCTCCTCCCCTCATCCAGATTCCCGCCTGGCCTGGCCCCGTCTAAGCCCACCCCTCACCCACCTCTCCTCCCCACCTTCGCCTCAGCCCCGCCCATCATCCTGCTCCTGCGTTAAGCCCCACCCTTCACGTAAGGCTCACCCAGCCCTGCCCTCGTCTAAGCCTCACCTCATGTTAGCACCACTCCAGAGGCGCCCTGGCCAAGCTCCGCCTCCCATGCATGTCCACTCGACCGTGTTCTCAGCTAAGCCCCACTTTCCAACCCCAGCTCCTTCATGTAAGTTCCTGTCCTTATGCTCAGGCTCTGTCTCTCTGTCTCCGTCTCTCCATCTCTCTGTCTCTGTCTCCCTGTCTCTCTGTCTCTGTCTCTCTCTGTCTCCCTGTCTCTGTGTCTCTCTGTCTCTGTCTCTGTCTCTCTCTGTCTCTGTCTCTCCCTGTCTCTGTCTCTCTGTCTCTGACTGTCTCTGTCTCTGTCTCTCCCTGTCTCTGTCTCTCTGTCTCTGACTGTCTCTGTCTCTGTCTCTCCCTGTCTCTTTCTTAAGCCCTGCTCTCATAATAAGTCCCACCTAACCCATCCTCTTATCTAAGCCTCACACGCCCCACCTAGCACCTTCATGTAAGCTCCAGAAGCTCCGCCATTCATCCAAGTCCTGCTATTCATGTGAGCCCCAACTAGCTCACCCCTTCAGCTAAACCTTGTCCAGGCTGACCCATTTAAGGACACACACACACAGGCGCACACACACACAGGCACACACACACACACAGGCACACACACACACAGGCACACACACACACAGGCACACACACACACAGGCACACACACACAGGCACACACACACAGGCACACACACACAGGCACACACACACACAGGCACACACACAGGCACACACACAGGCACACACACACACAGGCACACACACACAGGCACACACACACACAGGCGCACACACACAGGCGCACACACACACAGGCGCACACACATAGGCGCGCACACACACACACACACAGGCACACACACACACACATGCACGCTTCCAAGTCCTACTGCTCATGCAAACTCCTCCCTTAATATAGCCTCGCCTTTCATCTAAGCCATATATATCCTCAGGTTAAGTCCTACCAGGCTACACCCTAAGCTAAGCCCCGCCCCCACCTCACAGCTAGCTCCATTGGCTCCCTTGACCCCCTCACCCGCTGCAGCTCCTGGTTCTTCTCCTCCAGCTGTGCCTCCAGCTGCCGAAGCCGCTCTTCAAAGTTCCCATGGCGTTCCTCAGCCTAGTGAACAAGACCCGTGAAGTCGGCTTGACTCCACCAGGATCCCTTGGAGTTCCTGGCCCTGTCCCTGCGCCCCTGGCCCCGCCCCCTGCCAGGCTGTCACCTTGTTCAGAGCAGCCACACGCTGCGCCAGCTGAGCCTCTATCTCAGGCAAGGTCTCAGCCTTCTGCAGGGTCTGCTGGAGCTTCTGCTTGGCGTCGTCCAGCCACTCGGCCAGCTGCCGGCTCTTCTCTTCACTCTGAGTGAGAACAGGCAGAAGAGCCGAGGGACTCAGTTACTCAGCCACAACATCCTCCCGTGGTCTCCTGCTGCGTGGGCGCCCACCTGTCGGTACAGCGACTCTTTACTGGCCAACTCGTTCTCCAGCTTGTCGTTAGCATCATGTAGAGAGGTGGCCTCGCGCTGGGCACTCAGGTAGCGCTTCTCCAGCGTTGTGATGCGTTCTTCCATATCCTCCCTCTGAGCCAGAGCCTGAAGAGAGGGTAAGGAGCTGTGTGGACTACAACTCCCAGAAAGCCTTGTGATAGCAGAGGCTCACACACACACACACACACACACACACACACACACACACACACACACACACACACGACACTCCGAAGATTCAGGGAAAATAAGCTCCTTGTCCCATTGGAAGGCTCAGGGCACGGTTGTGTTATCTGTGTGTAATCCCAGTAAGTAGGAGGCAAAAGGACTTTGAGTTGGAGGTCAGCCAAGTTCAAGGCCTGCCTGAGATACACAGGGAGACCCTACCTGATAAACAAATAAAAGATCAAAGACCTATGGGATTCCATCTCCCCTCAAGCCACACTTCAGGGTAACACCCCTAGAGTCACAGAGTACTTGTTGGTGTCTCTCTCAGAGTTGCCAGGCTAGCACAAGCTTAGAAGCCCAGAAGAGGCATGCTAGGGTCAGCTGGGATACAGGCCTCCTGGGGTCACTGTGGGAAGACTGTGGCAGGGCAAACAGCCCCAATCGTTTGCCAGGCTGATGAGAAATAAAAAAACCCTTTTCTCATTCACCGTCTTCAGGTATCTGGACCAGCAGAGCCCAGTTATGTAGGCATCTGAGACAGAAGGCCATGATTCCACAGCCAAACTGGACAAGTCACCCTGTCTCAAAATAAAAAGGAAAGCAGCTAAGGGATGTAGCCTTGTTGTAGAGCCACTGCCTAGAATCCCCCAGTGAGGGGTGGCAGGGATGGCCAATAAGAAAAGAGAAGTCAGGTGCCTGACCATGGCTCAGAAGTAGATTGACTATGAACCTAGGGTATGTGATTTCCTGGGTTCTGTTACCATGGTAACACAGGAAAATGGTATTGAGGGCCACTTGCCACATCCAAACACTCAGATCAGTTCCATTGTCCTGACACTCTTGAACTCACTACTCTTGAAAGGCTGGGCTAAGGCTCGGGTCGGGGACAGAGAGTGATTCTGAAGGGGCTCCGCCTCACCTCCTTGAGGTCTCGCTGCAGCTTGGAGTTAGCTTCCTCGGCCTTACCCAGCTCGCGGTGGGCAGTGCCCAGCTCCTCCTCCAGCTGGCTCATCTGACGGCACAGCACCGCCAGGCGCTCCCGCAGCTGGCACACCTCGGCACGCTGCCGCTCCATGGCCTCCTCCAGCTCTGCTGTACGCCGGCTGGAGTCCCCAACAGGACCCAGGCCATTGGCAAGGGTCTGGAGAGAGAGAAGTGAAGAGAGGGGTTGATCAGCCACCCCAGGGGCAGGGTGAGATGAGGGGGAACCAAAGACCAGTAAAGACCTTGCAGACCAAAGTCCAAGGGATCTGTCACTGAGAGTCACATAAGCTAGTTATGTGACCAGTACGGATCTTAGGGGTTCAAATTTCATTGGGCCAAACATTAGAGACTACCAGGAACCGGTGAAATGGCTCTATGGCTCTGCCATCAAGCCTGATGACCTGAGTTCAGTCTCCAGGACGCACATTACATAAGGAGAAGACAACACCCTTAGTTGGCCTCTGGCCTCACATGCACAGGCAACACCTCCCACATTATCACAGGTAAATGGAATAAGAACTTCTAAAAATAGTAAAATTCTCATTACAAAGTCAGGGAGTTACTGGGCATAGTCATGTAGGCTTGTACTTTCAATGACTCGGGAGGCTGAGGTAGAAGGATCTTGAGTTGGAGGTCAACATGAGCTTTAGAGCGAGACCCAGACTCACAAAAAAGTAAAAGTGGGCTAAGGATGTGGTTCAGGAGTAAAGCTCTGTCTAGAATCCCCTAGTAGGGGCTGGAAATGCTGTTCACTGGGAGAGCCCTGCCTAGAATCCTCCCGTAAGGGGCCGGGGTGCGCTCAGTGCTAGGACACTTGCCAAGAATGAGGCCCTAGATCCCATCGTCAGCAAATCAGTCAGTCAGTCAATCAGTCAGTCAATCAATCAGTCAGTCAATCAGTCAGTCAATCAATCAGTCAGTCAATCAGTCAGTCAGTTAATCAGTCAGTCAATCAGCCAGTCAATCAATCAGTCAGTCAATCAGTCAATCAATCAGTCAGTCAATCAGTCAGTCAGTCAATCAGTCAGTCAATCAGTCAATCAGTCAGTCAGTCAATCAGTCAGTCAATCAATCAGTCAGTCAATCAGTCAGTCAATCAGTCAGTCAGTCAATCAGTCAGTCAATCAATCAGTCAGTCAGTCAATCAGTCAGTCAATCAATCAGTCAGTCAATCAATCAGTCAGTCAATCAGTCAGTCAGTCGATCAATCAGTCAGTCAATGAGTCAGTCAGTCAGCAAATCAATCAGTCAGTCAATCAATCAGTCAGTCAATCAATCAGTCAGTCAATCAATCAGTCAGTCAGTCAATCAATCAGTCAGTCAATCAGTCAGTCAGTCGATCAATCAGTCAGTCAATGAGTCAGTCAGTCAGCAAATCAATCAGTCAGTCAGTCAATCAGTCAGTCAATCAATCAGTCAGTCAATCAATCAGTCAGTCAATCAATCAGTCAGTCAGTCAATCAATCAGTCAGTCAATCAATCAGTCAATCAATCAGTCAGTCAGTCAATCAATCAGTCAGTCAATGAGTCAGTCAGTCAGCAAATCAATCAGTCAGTCAATCAATCAGTCAGTCAATCAATCAGTCAGTCAATCAATCAGTCAGTCAGTCAATCAATCAGTCAGTCAATCAGTCAGTCAGTCGATCAATCAGTCAGTCAATGAGTCAGTCAGTCAGCAAATCAATCAGTCAGTCAATCAATCAGTCAGTCAATCAATCAGTCAGTCAATCAATCAGTCAGTCAGTCAATCAATCAGTCAGTCAATCAGTCAGTCAGTCGATCAATCAGTCAGTCAATGAGTCAGTCAGTCAGCAAATCAATCAGTCAGTCAATCAATCAGTCAGTCAATCAATCAGTCAGTCAATCAGTCAGTCAATCAGTCAATCAATCAGTCAGTCAATCAGTCAGTCAGTCAATCAGTCAGTCAATCAGTCAGTCAGTCAATCAGTCAGTCAGTCAATCAATCAGTCAGTCAATCAATCAGTCAGTCAATCAATCAGTCAGTCAGTCGATCAATGGTGAGTGTAAGTCACAGGGAGGGACTTACACCTCTCACCTGTGCATCCCCGTCCTTGCCTGGCTCCTCCAGCCCTGACCGCCTTCTAGATAGCTGATCTCGAAGGTTCAGAGTCTAGAAGAGTCAGACACCAGAGCACACTGAGTTCCGCCTTAGAGACCCTGTGGATGTCTTCCTGTGATCCAACCCCAACCACTAGCTTCCTTTGGAACACAACCAATCAGTTTCTTAGTCCTCCACCAAGCCCTGCCTCCCCTGCTCTACCACACCCCTACCTCCTGGTTGCTCAGCTCCAACTCCTCCTCCAGCACAGCTACTCTCTCCAATGCCATCCGCAGTCTTTCCCGGACCTGGCGAGGGGTGTGAGACAGTATCAGGCCCTGTAAGGCCTGGTACTCAGGAGGCTGAGGCAGAAGGATCTGAGTTCGAGGTCTACTTAGGCTACAGAGATAAGACCTGGTCTGAGTCTGGTGAACCTGTCCCTTAACACCCTGGAAGCTCTGAAGCCAATATAATGAGTGTGGAGTTCCAGCCCAGTATCAGGCAGGCTATCCCCCTGGTATCCACTACTGGTTTTTTATTTGTTTCTTTCTTTTTATTTTTATTTTTTTAGTTTTTTTGTTTTGTTTTGTTTTTTTGAGACAGTGTTTCTCTGTGGCCCCCTGGTTATCCTGGAACTCACTCTGTAGACCAGGCTGGCCTCGAACTCACAGAGATCCACCTGCCTCTGCCTCCCCAGTGCTGGGATTAAACGCATGCACTACCAATGCCTGGCTCTACTACTGTATTTTTATTTTTATTTTTAGACAATATAGTCTGGAATTCTCTGTGTAGACCAGACAAGCCTCAAAATCACAGAGATCTGCCTGCCTCAGCCTTCTGAGTGCTGGGATTAAATAGTTCATATTTCTTTTTAATCAAGTCATGTTCCAATCTGGCACAGTAACGTTTTCTCAAATGTGAATCTCTCCAACCAATCAGAGGCAGCTTTTCTCTTTCCCACTTAGTTCAGCGGAGGTCACTACAAGTTTTCAGGAATCTCGGATTCTCCTACCTTTTCATCCAAGGCCTTGTGGTGCTCAAAGAGGGATTTTAGAGCCTTGAGCACCTCCACCTCGGAGGAGACCCCTCCAGGGGATTGGGCCTGGCGTTTCACCACAGTCATTCTCAGGGAGCGCTCGTGCCTGGACACCAGGCACTCAAGGTGTTCCAGAAGGAGCTGGAAGGATAGGACACCGAGTCAAGGAAAGGGGCGACTCGTTGGGAATGCACCAGGACCACGCAGAGGTGAGGTAGAAAAGAGAGAGATAGCCGAGGTGGGGCTGAGGAAGCAGAAAGGACAGGTCAGAGAAAAAGGATGGGAACACAGGAAGGAAATGACCCAGGAGGCTGGGAGTGAGATGGAAAATCAGATGTTGGAAACAGATGTTGGTCGGCACCACCCTGTGCCCCATCCAGCTTAGACCCCATAGCCAACAGCCCTCACCCGGGTGTTGTTACGCTCCGCCTTCAGCTCTGCGATCTCTTCTTCTCTCTCTAGAAGCTGTTCTCGACATAAGTTAAGCTCTTTCGTCAGAGCGGCAAACTCCTGTCCAGATAGATGGTTGACTCAATTATTCCCCTATTTCTCTTTCTGAGACTGTGAAGGCTCCGCCCCTTCTGGCTAGGCCCCGCCTTCTCCAGCCACTCAAGATTGACCCTTACTAAGTCCTTGAGCCCCTCAAACCTTTTTGTTGCTCTGAACCAATTGCAAAGTCCTGATTAGGTCACACCTCCTCTTCCTGCTCAGGCCTCTTCTTTACTCAACTTTCTTGGGGTTCAGACCCCGCCCTTCCATCTAGGCCACGCCCATCTCGATGTTAAGGCCCGCTCACCAATGGTAAGCTAAGTCCACACTCCTCCCTGCCAGAGACGTCTGGCACCACCCCTCCTGGGCCACCTTCTACCCTTCTACAGGCCCCGCCCTCCCGGTAACCCCTGCTAGAAGAGTAGAATACTTCCCAGGCCCGGCCTCCTGCTAAGCCCACCGTTCTTGCCGTCCAAGCCCCGCCCCCTCAGCGAACCCTGATTCTCCAGTCTTTCAAGCGCCGCCCTTCCTTTATAGTCCCGCCTCTCCCAATCCGCCTCTCCTCCAGGCTCCGCCTCTCTCAAGCTCTACTCGGGTGGCTTGCCACTCAGGCCCCGCCCTTTCTATAGAAGCCCCGCCCGCCTCGCGGCTAAGACCCGCCTACCAACGGCAAGCCAATCCCATGCTCCCTCCTCATGGCTCCGCCCACTCTGGACAGCCCTTGCCTTCAGGCTCCGCCTCCCTCGGGCCCCGCCCAACCTGAGGCAGAGCGATGCTGAGCTGCCGCTGCAGGGAGTCCTTCTCGTGGCCGAGCTCACGCAGCCGCAGCTGCGCCGTCGCCAGCCCATCCTGCGCCTCTCGCAGCGTCTCCAGCAGGCGCTCGCGCTCCGTGAGCATCGTGACCATGAGGCGCTCCAGCTCGCCACCCGCCTCGTCGGGGCCCAGCGCCGAGCCCCGCCGGCCATCCTCGCTGATGGTGGGCATCACCTCGCACATCATGGCGGCGGTGCGGGCCTGCGGGAGCGCAGAAGACGGCAAACTAGCCTTGTCAGGGATCAGGCAGAGAACTGAGGCGCTGCTAGTGTTGTACTCCCTGGGGCCCAATTCAGTGATTGCACAGGGCGACTGAGGTCAGCCAAGCTGATCGTGAGATGAGGAAACTGAGGTACAGCCCCACGTGGCGGGGAGGCAGGGTAAGTAAGTGCTGGTCACCAGGAGCGGGAAACTGCGGCCTGCCCTTTGTAATCATGGCACAGGTAAACTGGGAATCCATTGCTCTTGGCTAACAGCGGGGACTTCTTAGGTAAAAGTATTTTCGGTTGCTGAGGCTTGGCTACGCCAGACACTGGCAGCAAACCAAAACTGGAGGACCAGTCACTGACTGAGTGGGTTAAAACGAACCTTGTGGCTTGGCTTTGAATCCTCAACCCCCTCCATAGATGAGGAAACTGAGGCCCAAACCAGAACCACACCTTGAAAACTCTGGGGCTTCAGATACTGAATTAGGTCACTAGGCTGTGACTTGCCCATCTCTGTCTGTTAGCTAAGGACCAACACTCCCCTTGAAAAAATAAGTGTAAAATACGGCACGAGAGCTGGAGTCATAGCTCAGTGGTAAAACACATGCTTGGCACAACGTGAAACTCTGGGTTGGATTCCCCCATACCAATAAAACAAAATGTCCATTTATTAAGCCAGGCAAAGTGGTGTATACCTGTAATCCCAGTACTCGAGAAGTGGAGTCAAAAGGAGTTAGTTCAAAGTCATCCTCAGTTTTTAGGGAATTCCGGGTCAGCCTGAGTTACATTAGACCCTTTCTCAAAAAACAACAAAAATGCATAACCGGGAGCTGGGCTGAATCATTGCTACAGGTCACAGGTGTGTAGACCCCCCACAGCCCGTCGCCCCTACACCTAGGTGCCCACAACAGCCTCTTCACGGACCCCTCTTCCAGTGGCTCTAGGTCGCGGGCAAGACCCATAAATCTAAGCTGTTGGACCCTTCTCCCCGCCCATTCAGGATCTAGGCATGCAGGGATGCTCCTCCAGCCACGCCCTCATGAGGCGTTAACCAAGAGTGTGGGCGGAGGAAGGGGCGGGATTTATAGGGCCAGAAGGTGGGACTTGGGTTCCCCTGGCTGGGGACAGGGAGGAGATGTAGGGAGGGCCATTGAGCCTCTCCCTGGAATTCTTCAGGTCCAACAGGCCCATCTGGCCTGGCCGAAAGCAGGGAGCGACTTTCACTCCCCCCACCAAACACACAGACAGACACCAATCCATGCAGCCACCTAACCGGTTTGAGATTGGATACTTCCCAACTCCACCCAAATGAGAACTGTAACCAAAGTCTAGAACCAGGTCCTTGAGTTCCTGTGAGAGAGAGAAGCGGCCAGGCTCTGGAGTACAGGAAAGAAAGCATCTGGTTCCCTGGATCCCCTTTGTCTTCAAACGGCAGGTCTGAAACTCTACACCTCCCAGAAACTGAGTTCAAGAAAACGTTTATAAGAGACGAGGGCACCTTTAGGCTAAACCCCAATAGGGAAGCTCAAACCCGCAATCAGGTCAGAACACACAGCTTAGGGTGACTTCAAGTTTCTGTAGATCTTAGATTCACTGAGAAAGGAAGTTGATAGCTGTGCTGGACAGACGCTCAGCAGTTGAGAGCACCGCATGTCTGCTCTTCCAGAAAACCCGCCACGCATCCCACACCTGTCTGTGACTCCAGTTCCAGGGTTTCTGATGCCCTCACACAGACACATGCACACAATGAACATAAAACAGATAAATTACTACAAGAAAGAAAGTGGACATTCAGTTTCACCAAGGTGCTGCATAATCAGAGAAGACTAGAACTTCCACACTGAGCATGTGACTGAGGGCAAGAGCTGGTGTTTTTGCGGACTGGAGTCCCCATGCTACAACTGAGGTCTAGAAGGTAAAACTGGCCCAAAGCAACCCAGTAGGTGTCTGGGTCACCCAGGAACCCAAATCACAGAGATGAGCAAAATGACACAGAGGGTTGATCTGGTCAAAAGTCAGAATCCATAACTCAGAGCTTGCTCAGCATGAATGCATGGACACAAGATATGAGCGGAGCCCACAGCTGATCCCAGTTGAGACAGGAAGATTGCAAGTTTAAAACTAGCCTGAGGAAATCCTGTTCCAAACACACACACACACACACACACACACACACACACACACACCAGGGCCAGCAAGAGGGCTCAGTCAGCAAAGGCACTTGCCACCAAGACTGAGGTCCTGGGTCTGATTCTGTGGGGCCCACACAGTGTAAGGAGAGAACCTACCCCTGCAGGTTTTCTTTTGACCCCCACACAGACACACTGTGGCATGTGTGCACATACCAGAAAAAAAGTGTAGTAAACAGAGAGGTGCAAAGAGATTCCCTCATTTGGGGGGAGGCAGTGCTCAGGAAACAAGAACATTTCAAGGCTGGAAAAGGAGAGAGTCTAGAACAGACACAGAATGCCAAAGTGGCAGGTGGAGATGGAAGCCTGTTCTCCACCAGCGACAAATCTGACACCAAAGCTAAGGCCACAGTATGGACAAGAAAGAAGCCAGGAATCGAGGGGCAGGGACCTAGAATCTGAGGCTTGAGAAGATAAGAAGAGTCTCTGGGATCTTCCAGGTTTAAGACTGTGCAAGCTACAGGGGCTGGAGAGATGGCTCAGCAGTTAACAGCACTGACTGCTCTTCCAGAGGACCTGGGTTCCATTCCTGGCACCCACAGGGAAGCTCACACCCATCTGTCTCACAACTGTCTGTAACTCCAGTTGCAGTAGGTCTGGCACCCCCACACAGAAAAAAACACCAATACACATAAAAATAAATAAATCACTTTTGAAAGATTGTGCAAGCGAGAGTCCAAGGAAAACACCATATTCTGTAAGTTAGACTATCCATGGGATAAGGACATCTGTCAGACATGGTCAGAAAATAAAACACGTCTAAAATGAAAACTCAGGACAGATTGTTCCAGGGGTAGGGGCGCGGCAAGATCTTTTCATTTTTGGTCTAGTGCTAGGAATCAAACCCTGGATCTTGTGCATGTGAGGCAAGTGCTCTACCATGGAGCTACACCCCATCCCCAGGAGCTAGAAATATAGAACATGTCTGAGAAGGTTGAGAGCAAAATTTGGCATAGGGATGTTATGTAGGTATTTGAAAAGATCAGACAGAAGAAAAGAAGAGAAGGAGGGGAAGGAAAAGGAGAAGAGGAGAAGAAAAACGAAAATGTGAACACCAGTTTGGTCTCTGCCAGCCTGAGCTACATGGCAAAACCCTGCTTGTAGGGAATGGGGAGGAAGCAGGTGGAAAAAGACATGCCTAGAATTTAGCACGTAGTATAGATGTAGATCACGCCTTGGTGAAGACGGAACAGATGTATCATCTAGAAATGTTCTGGAACTTGGACTCTTGAACATAACACAAGGAAAGGACTCATTATAGCTAGAAATGCAGGAAGATGGTTGGTAGGTTCCCGATTACCTCATGAACCCTGGCCACAGAACACACTTGGAGGAAGGGATGGCTGTTTGGTACTTGGAGGATTGTGTCTAGAGGCAATGAGATGCCAGAAATACCCCAGCTTTAGTGGGAGAGGGACTCTGGAAGTCTAGATGGCAGGCAGGTGAGTTCATTACAGCCACGGAAGATGAGAAGTTGATAGAATGATGAGGCCCCAAAGACCTGAAGATGGGGTGCAGTGAGAGCCCAGGGTCCAGACCTTTGAATCCATGTGGAGGTGTTATAGACTTAGAACCGGAACATTTGGTGAGAGTGTAGGGCTAGGCAGGTGGTCTGATGGACAGGACAGTTGCCAGTCCGAGATTCTGGGTCCCTGAAATGTGTTGTTTGGATGGATGTTACAAGATAGGGTGAGACACCTACATCTCCCAGGGGGAAGGAGGACAGAACCCGAGGAACTGTATTGCACATTTCTGAAGGGAACTCTCGGAACCTGAGTCCCTAAGGCAGCAAGCAGGCGCTGGTGTACCCGGAGGCTGGGTACATTGTCTGACGGGCGGGAGGGGGGCCGTTAAACTAGGTGCTAAGTGCAGTGGGGTGGGCAAAGGCTGGGAATCCGGATTCCCCAGGTGCTGAATAGGGTGATGGCGACTACACAGAAGATGTATGGACACTAACAGCCGTTCAGAACCAGATGGAATCTAGGAGCTCCATGCCAAGGTCTCTAAAGTGGCCTGGGTATGGACATTCAAAAGCCCTGACTGAGTGAAGCAGCTAGAGTCTCAGAAAGCTAGAGTGCCTAAACATGGGCCTGAGAACATTGAGGCCCAGCTGGGAGGGGGGGCGCCGGGGATCCCCGGGTCAAAGGCGCGGCGGGGGTATCCCCACGCCGCCTGCAACCCGTCCTTGGCTGCCGCGGCAGGAGATGGGGGAGGCGAGGCTACCGAGAGAGCTGACCATGGACAGCTCCGGTGCGGGCCTGTTTCCAGGGCGAGCCGGCCTGGATGGAGGAACGTTGCCGGCTGTTCCAGCCAGAAGGTGGGGGGCGCGAAAAGGGGAACGATCCGGACGCAATAGAGGTAGCCCCACAGCGATGACCAGTGCCTGGGGCTCCCGGGTCTGGGCCCAGAGGAGGGATCTAGACTGAGGGGTCCCCTGGGCTGAGCTGATCCAGGCTTCTGGGCCCTGGAGGAGGCGAAAGGAGGCAACCCGCCTGAGATACCAGGGTTCGGCTGGGGACTCCAGGCTCCGAGAAGGGACACGCCTGGCTCTCCTGGGTTGACTTGTGAAATCTGGACTCTGGGTTCCCTCGGGATATAGATGGGAATGCAGGATTTCGGGCAAGCGAGTGGGGGAGGCTAGCGCAGGGTCCCCGGGGTGGGCGCTGCCGGGTAGACTGGGCCGGGCTCTTACCTACCTGGTCCGCGGCGACTGCGGGAGGCGCTGGGCTGCAGTAGGGACGCGGGGTGGGGTAGGGGCACCGGGCGGGGCCCCTGGCGGCGGCCGGGGCCCGGATCTGGAGCTCTGGAGCCCTGTCTACGCCGCTAGCGCGGGCTCAGCGTCGCTTGCTCCGGCTCCGGCGCTGGGGACCCCCTCCCCCTCACGGTCTCACAGCCTTCTTACTCCCTAAAATAGCAGCCCCCTGCCCTTGTCACCGTACAGCCTCCCCCCGCGAGGCCGCAGTCGCCAGATCCAGGGGTGCCCACCAGCGCCCCCCAAATCCCACCTTCTCCCCCCCAAAATTTCTCCTCCCTCCCCTTCCCCCCCACAGATGCCAGGCGGTCGTGGCCCCTTTAACAGAAGGCTGACGGACGGCGTTGAGTGGCCAATGAGAATTGGCGTCCGTGCCGGCCGGCAAGCAGGCCCCGCCTTCACACCGGGAGGGAGGGGCCGCGCGGGCGGAGAGCTGGGGACGGGACTCAGGGCGCAGCGACCAATAACCGCGCAGCGTGCGGCGGCCTGGGGTAGAGGCGGAGCCCGGCAGAGGATGATGTCACCTGAATCTAGTGGCGCGCGGCGTGGAGCGCGAGTCGCGACCCCGCGTTCCCGCGGCGGCGCGCGTCTCACGGGGCCGGAGGGCGGGGCGGCGGGATGGGCGTTCAACGCTCAAGGTGGGATTTTTTTTTTATTTTGTAAGGCGAGGGCGGCTCCCGGAAGATTGTGCTCGGCTGGAAGGTGAGGCGAGTGGACGATGGGTGGCGCGAGCCTGGTACTGCGCACCCGGCGCCTTCCGGGGGAGCCGCACGTCCCCCACCCCCGCCACCCCGCCTCCGAGCAGACGGCGGCCCCGGCCGCGGGGCTCCCCCAGCCGATGGTTCGCTCCGCCACGCCTGCAGAGGCAGCGCTCAGGCTCCTGCTGCGTTTCAGGACTCCCGCGCCTGATCCGCGGTGGCGGACCTCTCCAGGCCTCGCCTCCCGAACCTCTTCAGTGTTGTGGTCTTCGGGGCTGCGTCCTGGCACTCACTAGTGCCTGGGAAGCCGGGCAGCCTCAGCCTTCAGAGCTTCTCGAGCGGTGTCTGTCTCGATACCCATACTGGAAAGAGCTTGGTTTTAATCCCAGCTTCACCCCCTCCTCCACAGACACTATTCCAGGATTCGCGACAGACACACAAGACACTCGGTGAGGGTTAAACATCTTTAAATAAGGTGCCAGTGACGATAAATAATACTGTACAGGGGAGGAGGGTCCTGCTCTGTGGTTTCAGCCTCGAGACTCCAAGGACCTGCAAGGATGTGGAGAGGGGAGGTTTAGGCATCGAGGAGGCTCGTGGGACATGGCATGTTCAAGGGTAAGGTTCTGAAGACAACGGCTCAGAGACGCAGACACGGGGATTCTGAGATTAGGGGGTCAGAGGGTCATGGTAGGGGTCCAGGGTCAGGAGGCCCCGGTGAAGGGGCCCTGTTTGGAGTCTGGGGCGGGGAAGGCAGCAGGGGAGGAGGGTCTCTCGGAGGCTCACGAGTAGCTGTGGTGCTGCTGGCGCCTGCGGGCAGACCTCATCTTCTCAAAGCGAGCCTCCATCTCCTCCAGCACCCGCGGGGTGTAGCGAACCACCAGTTTCACTGAGCCCTGGGCGGCCTTGAGGAGCTCCACGGCCTTTTCGTGCTGTTCGCACTCCACACTCTGCAGGGCAGGCCTCGCACTGGCTGCTGGCCCAAACTGCTGCCCTTACCACCCTACCCAGGACATGGGACCGGTGGGTAGTGAGGTGCTGCTACGGTTGAGTCTCCGAGGCCTCACCCCCCTCCCGTGAATGTAGACTCATCACCCACACCGCACCCTGAAATCTGCCACGTCACCACAGCTCAGTCGGTGAACCAGGTCACTGAACCTGTCCATCCTTCCAGAGTCCCGAGAGGTCCATCTACACTGCACCCCTAAGCCTATTGCTCTCCTATCCTCAGCCAGCAGCAAAAACCCAGCTTTTCTGGCCAGACTACCTCCTTGGCAGTGGTTCCTGGCATTCTAACCACTGGGACTTCAGGATGCTGGGTGGCCCAGACTTCCATCAGAGTCAACCTTTCTCCTCGTGTGTGTGTGTGTGTGTGTGTGTGTGTGTGTGTGTGTGTGTGTGTGTGTGTGTGTGTGAGAGAGAGAGAGACAGAGAGAGAAAGACAGACAGAGAGACAGACAGAGACAGACAGAGAGACAGAGAGAGAGAGAGACAGAGAGACAGACAGAGAGACAGGCAGAGAGAGAGCGCAGTTACAGGCCCTATCTGTCCCATGCAGAGCCGCCCTCCTCTTAGTCTGAGAAACTCCCGTCCTCTACACTGGACTGGTCTCCTGAGTTTTTGGGGGCCAGCAGCGCCCCCCCCCCGGTCTACAAAGGCTGTGCTCCCGTGGACGGCCAACAGCTCCCGGGCTCCGCACAGACCACTGCCCACTCACCACACCATTCACAGACAGCAGTTGGTCTCCCCTCTTGAGGCCACCATGGCGATCCGCCACACCTCCAGGGATGACTCTAGAGATATAGATGGGTGAGTTCTGCTCTTTGCCGCCCATGATGTTGAAGCCCAAACCCTCATCAGTTTTTGGTAGCTCCACGACCCTGGGGTGTGCATGGCCTTCACTGGCCGTGAAGGCAGCCACCGTGGCCTGAAAGACACAAGGCGCCTTCATCTATGTGATGGGTCCCCGCTCCTTGACAGAAGGGCACTCCAGCCAGGGTGCAGAGGTCAAGCAGGGGAACCCTGCCACAGTCCAACAGTGAGCCGCCTTGTGGCGGCTGGAACCCGAGAGAACACTTAGATTCTTCCACAAGCCAGGGAAATCCACCCAGGTATGTCCTCAGGACTTAGCACCAGCCAATCTTGTTTTCAGACAAATGGAAACTAGCCCCCACTCTGGGAGTCAGGTGGGGTGAGATGGGACCTGGACTGAGTCTGCAGGCAGTAACAAGAGTGTGGCATTGCAGATAGGTGTCCCTGTCTACGAAATCCAACAGGATTGTCTTTTAGGGTCATCCTCATGGCAGGAAAGTGAGGCCAGTTTCCATGCCTGTTGCTAAAGAGAACCTCATGTGCATTCAAGTTAAAAACGTGCAGTTATTTAAAGGGAATTATAAATAAATCTTCATAGAGTGGAACAGAGATGCACAAACGAGGAAAGCAGAGAACAGACAGCTTTGGGAGGACATTGCGCCTTTGGTGGTCACCCAGAGCTGCGGAGGCAGCCGCCTACCTTAGCTGTGGCGTGAGCCCGCACTTCGGCACTGCCAGTGATGTCCAGCGTGTCATAGAGCTGCTCGTACACCTGGGGTATAGGGGACGCAGCAACATCAGAGAAATGCCAGCCCACAGCCCCGGACACAAATTGTCTGCGTCCCTTTGCCCGTTGTTGCCCCCGCCGCGCAGCGCAAGGAACTACAACTCACACAGTTCCAAGGTGCTCACCTCGCGGATAGCAGAACAGAAGCGACTCTGCAGGACCCGCTGCAGGGCCTGCAGCTTCTGCGGGGGCAGCTCTCCGCTGCGCTGCAGCCTCTCCAGCAGCTCCACGGCCCGGGACACGTCTACAGAACGCAGTGGGGACCACGAAGGCACGCGAGGGCAGCAGGAAGGGCGACCGAGGTCAGGCTGGAAGCGATCGACACGACCCGCGGGTCCCCTGGACCCCAACCCCAGGCGGGGTGTTCTTGGGGTGCTCCTCCCCAGACCCTCCCACGCCCACAGACCGCGGGTCGTGCCCCGCCCACCCTGACTACACCCTCCCACAGCATCTTCCTGGCTGACCTGGCCCACAGAGCCTAGAGGCCACACTGGACCCCCTCCCCCTGCCCCTGGAGCGCTTACCCCGCTCCAGACCCAGCGGCTCCACCAGCGCAGCCATATCGCGGCCAACGCGAGCCACCCGCCCAGGCGCCAGCGAGGAGGTGCAGAGCGAGGCCCCGCCCCACCCGGTGCCGGCAAGGAGGTGCAGCGTAAGGCCCCGCCCACAGGGCTACCAACAGTTTGAGGCCCCGCCCACTCGGGACTGCTTGGGAGACCTCCTTCTGCATGCATTCATTGCTCCCGGTGCCACTACATCTACCAAATGCATGGATTTGTTCTGGTTCCGATCTTCCTGTTGCGCGTAGGTGTGCTTTGCTCCTTACTGCATGTCGGTCCCCTTTTGGTACTTTCCCCTCATTTCCACATTCACAAGCCCAGAGGGGCGTGGTTTCTCAGGACCCCAAGGGCCTACAAAAGGGATCATTGCGACTTGGAAGCCTGGGATATATATCAGAAGCTGAAGATGTAACTCAGTAGAGTGCTAGTGAAGCCTGCCCAAGACTCTGGGTCCCATCCCTAGCAATGCATAAATCATGGGTGCTAGGTAATGCATGCCTGTAGTCCAATACTCAGAAGTGAGTGGAGGTAGGAAGATCAGAATTCTGTTCAAGGTCACCTTGTTACACGTGAGCGTGCACACAGAGCCTAACGGCCCACACCTTTAATTTCAGCACTCCAGAGGCAGATTTCTAGGTCAGCCTAATCTATATAGCAAGTTCCAGGCCAACCATGGATACATAGCGAGACCCTGTCTATACAGAGAGAGAGACAGACACAGACCTGAGCAGGGACCTTCAGGTCCACTGAAATTTTTAGAATAGTCAATGAGCCATAAGGCTTAGGTCACCAAGCGTGTCCAAGAAGCTGGGCAGTCAGGATGGCACAACGGAGTTCTTGTATGTCATTTGCATGACCGATTTTTATCTTCATATAAATCCCTAGTGACATGAGATGGCCTATGTGTATCTGAAGGTCCCTGAAGGCATCCAAGGAGTCTGGCCTGCAAAGGGGTGGGAGGGAAGATGCTGTCCCAGCAGCTGAGGCGGGAACTGGTAGACTAATGGGGACTGGGTTGGGAGGTGCAGTGAGGTACAGGCGACCATCTGCTGAGGGTGGCTGTGAGGGAGGACTTGCAGATCTTTTCAACTTGACTGTGGTTGGGCTGGGAATGGAGCTCAGCTGACAGGGTACCTCCTAGCAAGCAGAAAGCCTCGGGTTCAGACTCCAGCACTGCACCTGTGTGATGGTGTCCAGCTTAGACTACACATACTCTATGAAATAGAAGCCAGGACTCTGGAGCCTGTGGTGTCTGAAACAGAAGCCAGGACTCTGGAGCCTGTGGTGTCTGAAAGGAGGCCTGGTAACTAGCGGGAAGAAGACGCATTTCAGGTACAGGTGTTAAGCCAAGGGGACAGGAGCGCAGGAATAAGGAAACAAAGGGGAAGCGAGGAGGGCAGGTGGAGGCATTTAAAACAGCTCTTTAAAGAGGGTGTGGAATGCGGCTAATGGTTGTTGGGTTACAGGACTCTGGTTTAGCTGGATGGAGATGTGGGGTCACAGAAAAGGGTGTGTTAAAAGGCAGAGTGGGAGCAGGCCTCTCTGGCTGTCCACCACAACCTCTCAGTAGCAGTGTCAAAGACAAAACATCACTGCGCCTTCCCTAACTAACTACCCACTCCATCAGGTGGCCTTCTAAGAGTGGGGTAAGGTTTCAGCCACCATGCCTGGCTTCAAAAGCAATAACCGGAACCAAACCAAACCACAGGTACCTACTTCAGAATCTTTATGGAGTTAAGTTTCTGCCTTCCTGTCTTTAGCTGAGGTAGAGTAGTGTCCTTAACCTTTATTTATTTTTTGGTTTTTACGAGACAGGGTTTCTCTGTATTGTTTTGGAGGCTGTCAGTCCAGCCCAGCCTCGAACTCAGAGATCCGCCTGCCTCTGCCTCCCGAGTGCTGGGATTAAAGGCGTGCGCCACCACTGCCCGGCTTGAGCCAGGAACAATCAAAACCAAACTGGACAGGCCACCTGATAGCAGGTTCCACTCTCAACAATGAACACATTAAGGATTTATCAAGACACCTAAGACAATGAGTTTATTACGGCTGAACGACGCCTTGGTCAGGACTGCTTAATTACATACCTCTTACCTTGTAATAACCCTCATGTCAGTGCTCTCAGACAGACACAGTCAGTGAGCCACCTGACCCTCTTCCCAGTGCTGTCGAGAAATCCCTTGGCTCTTCAGCAAGTACTCCAGCCTAGCCTGTTGAGGCTGATAGTGCTGACTGGGGATGGAGGGTGACTGCAGGGTTCTCTTCTTGCTATAGACCCTAGCTGGGTTCCTGTTATCAGGTGACGCACAATGACCTCTAACTCCAGACGCAGGGGATCTGACATCATTAGCCTCTCAGGGCACCTGTACTCCTGTGCACATACCTACAGACACGAAAGAACACACATAACTAAAAGTATTTTTAAAGCCCTGAACAATGGGGGGCTGGAGAGATGGTTCAGCAGTTAAAAGCACTGACTGCTCTTTCAGAGTATCTGAGTTCAATTCCCAACAACCACATGGTAGATCACAACCATCTGTAACGAGATCTGAGTCCTTCTTCAGGCCTGCAAGCAGAACACTGTATACATAGAAAATAAATAAATCTTTAAACAAACAAACCCCACAAACCTCTGAACAATGGAGCTAGGGATGTAGAGGATGGTACATTACCTGCCAACAATATGCAAAGCTCTGGGTCCCACCCCAAGCACCCCATAAACTGGGTCTGGTAGTACACAGCTGTGATCTCGGCACTAGAGAGGTAAAGGCCAACCTGGCCTAAATATTAAGTTTTAAATCGAGCATAGGTATGTGAGACTGTATCTCAAAAGGGTAGTGTGGGGTGTAGACATATCATCCCTTTGACCCCTCTGAAAGCAAGCCCACAGATACTTCAAGTTGGTCCTGTATCTAACATCACTGCTTCTGCTTATTGGCCTAGATATTAGCATTATATGTCCTTTTGCTCACCCCCTTCCCTCCTGTGAACATACTTTATGACTTTGTGTATGTGATACAACATAGCCTGAACAGAGGTCAGTGCCCTCTTGTGAACTCTTAGATGTTAACAGCTTTTGGGTTAATTCATGTCTGCCTGAGACGTTCTGTGGGGCTAGGCTGTGTTCTGAGATGCTATTTCAACAGGTCCTTGATCTTTCAAACTTCCATTCTCAACTTCTTTCCAAGTCTCAAATACAACAGTAATTGTATTGACTTTGTTTGTTGAGACAGGGTTTCTCCATGTAACAGTCCTGGCTGTCCTGGAACTCGCTTTGGAGGCCAGGCTGGCCTCAAACTCATGGAGATCCACAGGCCTCTGCCACTATGCCGGGCTCACCTACTACATTACAGACCTCAGGATTGAATGTGGTGGCACATAACTTTAATTCCAGCACTCAAGTAATGGGAGCAGAAACAGACAGATCTCTGTGAGGCCAGCCTGGTCTACACAGTGAGTTCCAGGACAGCTAAGGATAACAGAGATTGCCATAAAAACAAAAACAATTTGTCAACCCGTAGACTTGCTAATTCTTCTTCACTTTCCTTTGTTTTTTGGTTTTACAAGACAGGGTTTCTCTGTATTGTTTTGGAGGCTGTCAGTCCAGCCTGGCATTGAACTCACAGAGATCCGCCTGCCTCTGTCTCCCGAGTGCTGGGATTAAAGGCGTGCGCCACCACCGCCCGGCCACTTTCCTTTGTATTAACAATGGCCCTGCATCTTCTACCTACCATTCTCCTTGGGGTCTCACCAGTCTTCTTCCTAACAAGCCTGAAAAAAAATTTTTTTTTTTTGGTTTTTCGAAACAGGGTTTCTCTGCATTGTTTTGGAGGCTGTCCTCGAACTCACAGAGATCCGCCTGCCTCTGCCTCCCGAGTGCTGGGATTAAAGGCGTGCGCCACCACCGCCCGGCTAAGCCTGAAAATTTCAAGATGCTGAATGCTAATGGCGTACACCCTTCACTGTCTTTCTAGTCTGGTCTGTCTCCTAGTGGCCACCCTGCCAGGGGGTGGGCTGAGGTGGTAGGCACTCTACCAGAACAGTGTGGTTGCGGAAATGAGATTCTGGGGGCTCTCAGGACCATACTGAGTAGCTCAGGGTGGACACAGGCCTCATCAGCTAACATTTCTACAACCTTTTCAAGGCCATGGATGTAGTGGCTATTCCCCACTTCCAAGAACAGTAAGCACCCATTTTGAAAGCAAACACCATGATGATACACAAAATACAATACGATCATAGCTGGGAGGGGAAGGGGCATTTGGTTGACATCACCGAAAACAGTCATCACCTGCACAAAATATTTTGGGGAGGGCTTCTCACCCCTGTAAGAAATCCCAATAAATCTGTTGACCAAGCAGAGCTTGGATATTTGGTCTGTCAGTTCCTAGTTATATTTCCCATCTCCCCAAGGGGTAATAAATTATACCAACACTTGGCATACACAACTTGAGGATGGCTTCATGTTCATTCACCATTTCAGTTCAGTCACTTGGCAGGAGCCTGTGGCATGTGCTCTCATCTCATGAAGAACAGGAAATACAGCATAACACATCCCCAAGAACCCATCCCATACACTGACTTATTTCCTCTACTGGGGCCTAACTATTAAAACCCACAAAACTCCCCAAATGGCACCAGCAGTTGGTAACATCCATATGGCATGAGCCTTATCAGTTCCTTAAGAAAGGCAGCCATGTCTCCACAGATCATCCTCCAATTCCTTTTCACAAGTTTTCCCTGCCCTAGGCATTCACAATGAGACACTCTTAGCCAAACCACGGGCCTACCTGCAACATGGGGGAGATCCACAAGAGTGAGAGCCAGTGTGCTCTCAGGACAGCTCTCTGTGGTCTCGTGCTGCAGGTGTTTCTCAGCTACCTGCTGGAGTCCTGTCAGTCAAATCTAAACGGGACTACCTCCAGCCTTTCTTCAGGACTGTGCCAGGCTGGCCACTGCTTCCTCAGGGCTCATCAGACTCAAAGCTCTCCCAGCTTTGCCTTCCATCCAGAAACGTGTGGACATCTCAACTGTTGATGGTTATTTCATTAGCAAACTACAACCAGGCATGTGTCCTGACCACAGATGGGTCCCATCCTGGCTGGCACTGTGCCTCTTGACCTACCGTCCTGTCGCTTGTTCAGAAGGCAAGGGCTTCCTTATCTCACCTGCCAAGCAGGCCTGGAGCAGTCTCTACTTCAGGTCATAACATATGCACCATAATCAATACACAAAGTGGGTTGGTCAACATAAAGTCACAACCTTTTGGGAAGAGAGCAAGTGCAGTAAGACACCAAGTGCCCACTATCAACAGGAAATTAATTTTATTTTTAAATCCAAGGGACCAGAACAAAAATCAAAAAATCTCTACCCTCAGAGGATAAGCCATGGTGGAAAGGCTAGGAAGGCAGACAGCAAAGTAGGAGCATGTCCACGACACAGGAGGCCTCTTCATTCAGGTGCGGCCTCCATCAGATATCCATTCTCTGGGGCCATGTACCCATCACCACCCTCGGCCTCCATGTACATGTCTCGGCCATCACTACCTAGCCCTTCCAGCCCATTGTCCTGACCACTGCCACCCCCACCCCGGGCCTCATCCCTGCCCCGCTCACTGCCCCGCTCCCCCCGTTTGTGCTCCCGATCCCGATCCCGGTCTCGGTCCCGGCGACGTTCCCTCTCACTCCGGTGGCTCCTACGTCGCTCCCGGTCTCGATCCCGGCCCTTCTCCTCTGGGCCATCAGGGCCATCAGGGCCAAGCTCTCCAGGAGGCCCATCATCAGGAGCTGCATCACCAGCTTCAGAGGGTTCAGCCATGTCGCCGCCACCGCCGCCGCCGCCGCCGCCACCGCCACCGCGAAGCTCCTCTTTTCGCTCCCGTTCCCTGCGTGCTCTCTCCCGACTCCGACTGCTTCGTCGCTTTCGGTCTCGGTCCTTGTCCTTGCTCCTCTCTCTGGAACGGCGACGCTCGTCCTTGTCTCGACTCCGGGAGCGCCTCCTCCGGTCCCGAGAGCGGGAGCGTCTTCGTTCTCTCTCCTTGTCTCGTTCTCTGCTTCTTTCTCTGCGCTCCCGCTCGCGGTCCCGGTCCCTGTCCCTGTGTGGAAGCGGGGAGGGGCCCGGCCTACATGAGGTTAGCAGTGTGTGGCAGGATGCCCCAGGACTGCTCTGTCCCAAGAAACCAGGTGCCCAACCTTACCTCTCATCATATCGGGAAGTGTCATCTCGGCCCGAATGCCTGATGTTCACATCTGCCCCACCTCTTCTGGTGCCACCAAGGCCACCTCCTATGGGCCAAGCAAGGAACATAAGGTCAGTGGGGACAGAGTACAAATGGCAAATTTGTGAGCAGCTCCCAAGTAGCTGACAAAAACTAAATACCTCTTCTGGCAGCTATGGGCACAATCCCATAACAATTTCCATGTCCCCTCGTCACAGAATAGCCTGTTTTCATGCCAGGCTGTCTTTCATAAGATGCCAGAGCTCAGAGACAACCTAATAAGAACCTTCATGCCCCTCAAGCTGAGACTAGACTAGCACACTAGCAATTTGTACTTTTGTGCACACAGTCCAAAGTGTGAACCCATAGAAAAGCTGAAAGAAGCTAGGCATGTGTTATATCCCTTGAATCCATCCCATACTTGGAAAGACAGGGTCAGGTATATCTTGAGCGTGAGGCCAGCCTGGTCTACATAATGAGCTCTACGCCAGTCAAGGCTACACAATGAGACATTGTTCTCAATATAAAAAACAAGTGGGAGACCTTTCATTTCCAGCCTCCTTAGCCGCCCTGCTCCCCACAACAGGCATAAATCTTACATTTACCTTCCCTCAAGTAAACATGGTCTCCTTGTGTCTACCTTCTACTTCCCTGTCAGTCTCAAAGCACCAACTCAGATCCTGACCTCATCAACACACTACTCCACTAAACTGTCATAGGCCACCAGCACCTATCAGGCAAGTTTCAAGCTCACCAACTGTGCAAGGAAATCACACCTAAACCCCTTCAGATCCTTACATGCCAGTAAAAGAGAGACTTTGCTGAATTTGCACAAATTTAATGCCTGGTCTAGAAAGGTGTATGTACCTGACCAATAGCACTAAGGAACAGGTGGCAGCCTTCTTTTTCTTTTTTCTTATTTATTTTTACGTTTAAATTTAGATTAGAAACAAGGTTGCTTCACAAGTCAGTTCCAGGTCTCTCGTTTCCCTCTCCTCCTCCCGTGCCCTCCCCCCATCCCCCAGCAGTCTTATTTTTCAAGTGGGGACCCACTAATGAGCCACTTGCTCCCAGTGACTTGGCTCCTAGGAAGGCTCCTAGCTGGGAAAGCCACATGTCTGTGGTCTCCTGCACTAGCCTTCTGAGAGGGTACAGAGATTGAGGGTGTACCTCACACAGGAAAGAGTAGAGGTCAGTCACATGCCAGGCTGTTAAACTAGGACTGTTAAACAGGCTAGACTACTACAAAGCAGGACCCAGACTTCCAGCTT